CATAATCACCATCCAGGCCTCAAACTGGTTCCAGGATTTCCTATGTAAAGTGAAACCATTTTCTTCAATAGTGGTTGGAAATTGCATTAAACCAGGGGTCCTCAAACTTTTTAAACAGAGGGCCAGGTCATGGTCCCACAAACTGTTGGAGGGCTGGATTATAATTAAAAAACAAAACAAAACAGGAATTCCTATGCACACTGCACATATCTTATTTGTCGTGCAAAAAAACAATTTAAAACAATACAATAATTAAAATGAACAATTTTAACAAATATAAACTTATTAGTATTTCAATGGGAAGTGGTGGCCTGCTTTTGGCTGATGAGATAGGATTGTTGTTGTTGTTGTTGTTGTGTGCTTTCAAATCGTTTCAGACTTAGGTTGACCCTGAGCGAGGGCCGGGTAAATGACCTTGGAGGGCCACATCCGGCCCCCGGGCCTTAGTTTGAGGACCCCTGCATTAAACAGTCAGTGTAAATAGGTCCTTGGTGTCATTCAGATTCTTGGACTGTAACTGCCATCACCTTCGGACAGTGTAGACTGTTTGCTACAACAAAACCCCCAAAATAACTAGGATTTTATCCTGGAAACGACAAAATTGAAATAATATCCCAGATCCATTTACCGTCATGGCTGAGTTTGTTTCTGACTTATTCTTACTCATAAGCAATGGGTTCTGGGTAGAAGTTTGCAGAATGTTGTAATACTCATAAAAATGCTTATATTATTGTAACAGGTGAGACATGATTTAAAAGTTAGCACTACATTATTATGAGCCACACTTTGTTTAAACTTGTTGTATGCTTCCCTGAATGGTATACTTGGAGAAAGGCAGTATAGGGAAACTGCATTTTCTTTTAAAGTACTTTAATGGTTAGCATCTTCTTTAAAATACAATGAAACACACATATAGGAAGAAAACCTTGAGTCTGGATGCAGCGCCTCCCTTCCCACCTCCCCCAAATGTCCAGTTCTTTTTGAATAGAAGGGCCCCACTTCTGCTCTTGTAGTATGCTGGTTTCTCTCCATGGCTTTAAAGAGGCCAGCAGTGTGGCCAGAAACAAATTTCCGGTCCTCTCTAAATCTCCTCCTCTCCAGCTGTTACTTGTTGCTGGGCTGCTGGTTGGCAAGAATTTGGCTCTTCACCTTTATCTTTCAGAGAATGTTTCTTCAAGAAGTAGAAAATGTGTGGAGGGCTGATCCCTCTCTCCCGCCTCATATCTCTTAGAGTAATGACCATGGTGCCATGCTTTAGCTGAAAGAAATGTGCTTCAACAAGCGACACAACAATAGCCCCTATTTCTTGGTTCTCCTCTTGCCCACTTTCAATCTGTAATAAAACACTTAAATTCTTAAGGTGTGGTAGTGACCAGTCCCCCCTCCCTCGTTAGCCTTGAAAACATGCAAAAACAACAACAAAAACCCCCAAACAAACCCAAGATCCGTTGTGCGGTAAGATAGCCCAACATGACATCTTTTCAGCATCTGTGCCCATGTAAGCCCTGAATGATGCCATCAAATGAAGAAGTCAGACACAAAAGAAAGAATCCAAATGCCTAAATTTTTTTCCTCTCACACATAAGTTGAAGGAAAGGTAGCCTTGTGCCCTGATGTTACCTGAGTTGGCGCAGGTTGCGAAAGAAGAATATGGTCTACCAACCTAGAGTAGAGATATAAGGTAAAGGACACTATAAGCAGTTTCATCTCCAAAGCAGTTTTCTCTGCTGCTACAAGTTACATATAGGAAGATACAAGAGACCAATCTCAATTTTGCCTATGCACATAAAAAACAACAGCTCTGCAGAGGACAGAAGAGTGCTTGTCAGGTTCCAAATATGAAAGGGTGTCTGTGCCTAATTGTTGGTAAGTGACTTATTGACCCTGGAAAATTGGTGAGTTAACTATGGAAAAGATCAAATTACCACAGATTGCTTGGAGTAGGGACAGGAAGGGACTGAAATCATAGTCACCACGGGCATTAAAAGCACTTTATATGATGAGCAGGTTACTGAAGCTGCAATCCTATACACCAGTGGTTCCCAACCAACTGAATTCCCAGTTTTTTGTTAGTTGAATGTTTGTAACTCAGAGACTGGTTGTAATAGGAGGCTTGGGGAGCACAGTCCAATGCTATGATTCTGTAACTAAAAATCCCACAATCTACAGCCAAAATAGCCAATGGGGACTCTAAGCCAAGTCAAATTCAACAGTGGACAAGGCTAAAGCAAAAAGTGGATGCTGGCTGCCTTTTCTCCCCTCTTTCCTCCATGCCCAAAAGGGAGTCCAACCGTTCATTTTTGGCAGATATCTGAATGGCTTGCTTGCAGAGAATTTTTGAAGGCATGCCAAGACTCACAAAACTTATGGCTGGGGCTTTTGAGCTCCTCTGATGTGTAAGACCATGCTACTAATCTACCATATTATTATTATTATTATTATTATTATTATTATTATTATTAAACTTTATTTGTACCCCGCTAGCATCTCCTGAAGGACTCGATGCGGCTTACAAAGGCCAAGGCCTCAACACACAATATAACAATACAGAACCAAAGCAAAATAAAAACAATTCAGCAATATGCACAGTTATCTATGGAAAGCCTGCTGCACCCAACAAAATCAATTCAGTTACTGTGTGCTGTCCATATAGCGCAAATAGCACAGTGCTGGATTTAGAACAAATGGGACCCCTTGCTAGTTATGAGGCCTCTTCCTTCCTTGGGCCCTTAAGGAGGGAGGCCAGGTAGGTCTACACTGCCTTCCATAGACTATCAACGCTATCATTATGTCTGGAATCGGTCCAAAACAGAACACCTTAAAATTTAAAAATGCACCACATAAGTAAAATTGACTGTAAAAAATGTTTGGCAGGAAGATGGGCCCCTCTGGCCAACGGGTCCCTGTGTTTAAGCACAATGGTAAATCTGGCACTGCCCGCACACCCATGAAATGACTGATAACATCCCATAGTTTAATTAACTCCATTTGAGTCATTCTCCTCACTCTGCCTCAGGCCTTATTCTAGCTGGCACCTTTCTTTCTGGCATCTTTACCTTGACTGGATCTCTAAACCAGTTGGGGAACCAGTTATCTACATAAGATGTGAGTGGTATAATACATAACCTTTGTCAATGGGTTCCTAAAGCAAAAGAGCCCATTAATAAGACCCTGCAAAGTGGAGGGCTCAGTCTCCTGGAAGCGGATATGGGATGGGGCATCCAGGAGTGGCCCACCCACCCACCGCCAAGGGATGAGGGATTTATTTCAAAGGGACCTGCACGGCTTGCAGCGTCTCCAGCTGAAAAGGCCAATGGAATCCCTGCCAGGCAGGCAGTACATTTCCCCATTCTCCAGCACATTTTTGTGGTGCATACTGCTGTTTGCTAAGTGGATTAGGACGCAGGACAAAGTATTTACTTTTATCTGAGTTGCATCAAGAATAGCTGGCCCCCCACCTGAAAGGAATGTCCCAATTAAATTACAAATGACATGTCCTGAGTGTAAGAATTGGGGATTGGCCGAAGCAAACAAAGCATTCAACCTTTACTATTTCCCCCTCAAGATCAGCGCGCAGGGACATCTAGTGGATAAGATATTTTGGATAAAGTTTTTTTAAAAGATGGACACTGCATTTCACTTGTTTCTTACCACATTTGTAGAATAATAAATAAATAAATAAATGGTGGGATCACAAGTCTGAAAAAGTTACACAAAATCAAGACATCAATCTATTCCGGGACTTCTGAATTGAGACTGACAGAGTTTTGGAGCACAATACCCCTGACCTCACAATCCTGGGAAAAACAAAAAACAAAGTATGGATCACCAATGTTGCAATCCCAGGTGACAGCAGCACTGATGAGAAGCAACTGGAAAAGCTGACACAATATAAAGATTGAAAGATTGAAATGCAAAAACTCTGGCACAAGCCAGTCAAGGTGGTCCCAGTGGTGATCGGCACACTGGGTGCAGTGCCTAAAGATCTTGGCCTGCACTTAAAAACATTTGGCACTGACAAAATCACCATCTGTCAGCTGCAAAAGGACATCCTACTCAGATCTGCACACATTATTCGCTGATACATCGCACAGTCCTAGACACTTGGAGAGTGTCCGACATGTGATCAAATACAAAAGCCAGCATGGCGAACTTGTTTAATGTTGTCTAATCTTTTTGTGTGTCTAATAATAATAATAATAATAATAATAATAATAATACATCAAACTGCAAAGACTCTGGCACAAGCCAGTAAAGGTGGTCCCAGTGATCTGGGACCTTGGCCTTCACTTAAGCCAGCATGGCGAACTTGTTTAATGTGTTCTAATCTTGTTGTGTTTCTAATAATAATAATAATAATAATAATAATAATAATAATATCTTTATTTACATCCCACTCCTTCTCCCCAAAACGACTTGGGGCAGCTAATCATAATAATAATAATCATAATAATAATCATAATAATAATAAACTTTATTTGTACCCTGCTACCATCTCCCCAAGGGACTTACAAAAGAAGAAACACAATAGAGTAATAGTAAACATACAACCAAATCAAACTTAATTCATATTAATTAAAGCACAAAAAAACACCAAAAACATACTAATACAATTCAGAAGGCTGTTAGGAATTGTGGGAGTTGAAGTCCAAAACACCTGGAGGGACAAAGTTTGCCCATGCCTGCTTTACAAGGTCTTTAGCCTTCTCTGCAAAAGACTGCTGGTATTTCATCAAGCTAAAAATCTCATTGAGCCATGGTAGTTAAAGGAGTGTCAAACCGCATTTATTCTACAGTGCAGACACACCTTCAGGGATGGTTATTTTAGCTCAGTCCTCTCCTTGCTGGTCTCCCACTAGGGGGCGTTCGGCGCCTCGCCCAATAGGCTTGTGACATGCGCAGTAGCACTCCCTCTGACACTAGCTTTGCGGATTCGACAGATTCGGGGGGCGCTCTTCCATTCGCCGGGGAATTTTCCCCTGCCTCTCTCAAGATGGCGACCTTCTCGGACCGGAAAAGGCGGGGAATGAGGCGGAAGTGGAGTGAGTGTTGACAGGAGCTGGAAGGCGCTTCAGCGGAGGCCTTGGAGCAGTCCAGGGCCGGCCTCGGGTCGGGATGATTCCCACGGAGGAGGCCTCGGCCCGGAGGAGAGAGATAGAGGAGAAGCTCAAGCAGGTGGGGCCCCAAGGAGGAGCAGGAGACTGCAGCGCCATCAGCCCCCGGCCACGGCATTGAGTCATGAGGCTATACCAGGCCTGGGCAAACTTGGGCCCTCCCTCCAGGTGTTTCGGACTCCAACTCCCACCATTCCTAACAGCCTCAGGCCCCTTCTTGAGGGGGAAAAGGAAAGGGCCTGAGGCTGTTAGGAATGGTGGGAGTTGGAGTCCAAAACACCTGGAGGGCCTAAGTTTGCCCAGGCCTGGACTATATTGTGTGTGTGAGGTGGAGGGTGTGTGTGTGTGCTTGTTTTCAGTCCTTTAAAGTATAACACAGGATTTGAATATATTTTAAGTGTTATGACTATGTTTAGGCAGATTTTTCATAATAGCAGCAGACTCTCAGTTAACTGGCACCAATGGGGATCAATATGAAAGTAGTTTCTGGTTGCTTGAGAGTTATTACTAAGAGCAGGCCTCAGTAATACTATGCCCCATACAATGCCATCCCATAAGCTCTATAACTGGATTGGTGTTAACATTGAAACACAGTAATTAAAAGCATATTGAGAAAGAAAGGGCAAATTTATTGTAACACAGTTTTATTGTTTTATGATATTCTAAAAACAGCATTTTTAAATTTAAAGTATTATTTCTTTTCTTTTTCTTTTTGTTGCTATCTGCCTGAGTGTTACAATTAATGGAGTTATTATTATGATTATGTTTATTTCTGATTAAAATGTTTAATTGTATGGTTTTAATTGTATTTGTTTATTTTTGTATTTATATGTATTTTCATAAAATTGCGGCCTGTTGTAAAGCCGCCCTGAGTCCCCTTTTAGGATGAGAAAGGCGAGATACAAATATGTGAAATAATAAATAACAAATACCCCGCTTTTTCTCTCCATACGGCTACTCAAAGCGGATCACAACTAAAAGCATTGCAATACAGTCTAAAAATACACAAATATACAAGTATTAAAACAGTATTAAACATCATAAAAAGCATATAAAATCACAGCAGCCCCTGATGACCTTAAAAAACCTTCTTCTTTAAAAGCCTGCCTGACTAAAAAGGGTTTAACTTTCTGTCTGAAGGGGACTGTTCTGGCTTTCCTGGGGAGAAGGGAGTTCCAGGGTCGAGGGGCCGCCACCAAGAAGGAAGGCCTGTTCTCTCTTTCCCACCAACTGGACTTGAGATAGAGGTGGGACTGAGAGAAGGGCCTCTCCTGAAGATCACAGGGCCCAGGCAGGTTCATACAAGGGGATGTGGTCGGTCAAATAGCCTGGACTTGAACTGTCTAGGGCTTTAAAGGTCATAACCCGCACTTTGAATTGTGCCCGGAAACAGATAGACAGCAAGTGCAGCTTCTTCAACAGGGGGTTGTCAGCTCCTTGCAGCCAACCCCAGTGAGCAACCTGGCTGCAGCTCTTTGGAACAGCTGAAGTTTCCCAGCACTCTTCAGAGGCAGTTCCACGTAGAACGCATAACAGTAATCCAGATGGGATGTTACAAAGGCATGGACTACCGTGGCGAGATCTGGCTTCTCAAGGAATTAGCACACAAGTTTTAATTGTGCAAAGGTCCTCGCAGCCACTTTCAACACATGGACCTCCAGATTCAGAGCCGAGTCCAGGAGAACTCCCAGACTGCGGACCTATGTCTTCAGGAGAATGTGACCCCATCCAGCACAAGCTGAATCCCTTGTCACATAAGGCTGGAATGACTTGAAGGCACCCAGAAATAATAGAAGGTAGCTTTGAGTATAAAGGTGCCAGGATATACAGTGTAGTTGTTGAATCACAGAGTTGGAAGAAACCTCCCAAGGGCCATCCAGTCCAACCCCATTCTGTCATGCAGGAATATACAATCAAAGCACCCTGACAGATGGCAGTTCAATAAAGAAATAAATGACAAAATTGTTAAAACCAATAGAAGTTGCACCTCTGGAGGATATCCAGAAGGCCCAGGTTGCCCTCCTAATTTGTTTGTTTGTTTTGGTATCCTGTTAGGCTTAGATGATCTTTCTGCTCTGTAATGGGATGTGTGTCCTCTGTTAATAGTGGGTGCCCCCCCCCCCCCGATTTACACACTGCACCAAAAGCTAAAACAAGAAGAGAGCCAGAGTCCTATGCACAGTTATATGGGAGTGCATTTACCAGCCTTGCTTCCTAGGAGCTTAATGTGATGCAGTTAGGACCAGGGTTTAAGCTCAGAGCACAGTGTAAAATATCTTATTCTTTCCCAGTTATTATTCCACAGGTGGCACTATAGGAGATGTCACATTGTCTTGCACTACTTGCATCAGCATTTAAAAGCTTAAAAATTACATAGTGGGCTCTTTGTATGCTCTTTGTCTCCAGAAGCCCTCCCCTTCCTCGTACAGTAGACAAAGAGTAGGACTTTCCTGGTGAACATCTGGAAAAACTATTGGCACACAAAATACTCTGTTTTCTCTAGCACTTACAGGAGAAGTACTAGGACTCACATGAATCCTGAAATTACACCAGAAAACCTCTCTATCGGGGGGTGGGGTGGGGGATTGACAGCGTTTCATTGTTACGGCTACACAGTTACTGAGAACTTGCAGTTTTGTTAAGAATTTAGAAAGGTAATATTTGAAATTTCAGGACACAGATTAATACTTTCCCCTCTGTTTGCACTGACAGGAAGAAGAGACATTGTCTTTTATTAGTGAGAGCTTAGAAAAAAGTGACCAACTCACCAAAAACATGGTAGGTTTGTCTGTTTTTTTTAAAAAAAAATCAAGTATGTGACATGTCTCAGTTGTGCTTTACTTGATGATAATGTTAACTAATCTTGCAGTAGACTGTGCTGAAGGAAATGGTTCCAATCTCTACACCAGTTCTTTCTGTGGCTTTATTGTTTAGGTTTCCATTTTGTCATCTTTTGAAAGTCGTCTGATGAAGCTGGAGAATTCAATTATCCCTGTCCATAAGCAGACTGAAAATCTACAGCGTCTGCAGGAGAATGTTGAGAAGACACTTTTCTGTTTGGACCATGTTATAAGTTACTACCATGTAGCAAAAGACACAGAGAAGATAATAAAGGAAGGGTGAGCTGATATTTAAGATTTTCAAAATCATGGAAGTGGTCTCCTAGACCAATGGTTCTCAACCTGTGGGTCCCCAGGTGTTTTGGCCTACAGCTCCCAGAAATCCCAGCCAGTATACCAGCTGGTAGGATTTCTGAGAGTTGAAGGCCAAAACATTTTGAGGAGCCACAGGTTGAGAACCACTGGCCTAGACCATCATGTCCAGCCCCCCACCATTTATTTATTTTATTTATTTCAAATATTTGTACCCCGCCCTTCTCAACCCCTGGAGGGGGTTGAGAAGGGCGGGCCTACAGGGGGGCTTACAGCTGGCAACATCCATCCAGCTCAACAGAGAGATCTGTTCTTTGAGTGCTCTGTTCGCCAGTCTCCTGTAAAATTCTAATTTTAGTTGCATTACAGAAATTCAGGAAGGTCTGCACATAGAAAAGTTGGAATGATCTTTATTATGGAAATACACATGTCAATAGTCAGCTTTCAAGGTGTCTTACAGGTTTACAATGTGGCAAAGAGAAAGTATAGCAGCACTTACTGATAAAGTTTTGGTTCAGAAAGGCAAAGCACATCTTAAATAACACTTTCATAATCTCATAGTGATTCGTTTTTAAAGTGGCATGCTATTTACTAAATAGCTTTTAATAACTTTCATTGTTTATATAGAGTACAGATCATATTATAAGTCATGAGATGTAGGTGATCAAAAGTTAGGCAGGACTGTTGGTTTTTCCTATCCAATGGCTGGCTAAAAAGGGTCATACTTTGCTCTTAGTATTTAATTCTCATGCTGCAGAGTTACGTCAAGTGGTGAGGAACCTCTTGGGATCAGATCATGGTAGACCAGGAGTAGGAGCATTTGTTAATTGCTGCGACAAATTTGCTAGGCACTCTTAAGCTGGCCTTTTGCTTCCATACTTAAAATCAGTCGATAAGAGAAAGCTATCCCAGCTTGTCTGTTGACAAAAGAAAAATGACAGAATTATTGACCAGTCACTGACAAAACAGTGCTAAGTTTTGCAAGGGTTTATCATAAGCACTTACTTGCCAGTGGAACTTGCCTGAACCAACTTTACTTCTTTCTGCAGCCCTACAGGGAGACTAGAAGAATATTTGGGCTGCATGGCTAAAATCCAAAAGGCTGTGGAGTATTTCCAGGACAATAATCCTGACAGTCCGGAACTTAATAGAGTGGTATGTATTATGCCTGAGCATCAGACTATAGTTTGTCTTCTCTTGCGTCATCAATTTATTCACAGTACATGAAGGTCACATTTACCCAGAAACAGATGCAACATTTGGGACCCCAAAATGTGTTTTGGCCAGTGTTATCACTTTAATTCAGAAAACTTTCCTGTGAAATCCTCAAATTGTTCTTTGAACTCTGAAGGTGAAAGAGCATTTGGGTTCTGTGGGAGTACCTCTTTCAAGTGGAGAGCAGATATATTTTGATGCGTGTGCACACATATTGCGCCCACTTTCTAGGGTACAGCCAAAAAGTTCAGTATGCCTTTGCCTTTTATTACTTTCAAAGTGCTAGTGTACACACGTGATTTTTTAATGTATTATTTCAACCAGAAATTGCTGTTTGAGAAGGGGAAGGACTCATTGGAATCTGAATTTCGTAGCCTTATGACCCGATACTCCAAACCAGTCCCACCCATCCTGATACTGGATCTCATAGCTTCGGACGATGAAATAGAAACCCAGGAAGAGGTCACCTTGGAACATCTCCCAGAGAGTGTCCTACAAGATGTTGTCCGTATTTCTGGTTGGCTGGTGGAGTATGGGAGGAACCAAGGTCAGTTGACTAAAGAACTATCTTGCCTTATTTTAATTGTTTTTATCTTCAATTAAGCCACTCTTCTATCTTTTCAATCTTACAATATGAATTCAAGTTCTATCTTGTGTTCTTAAGCTGAGCAGCATTATTCTGAAATAGTTTATCTTACTACATTTTCTGTATGTTATAGCAGTTCTCAGAAATAGTTTATAAGTTTTTTTAAATATAGAAAGGAAACATAAAAATGTTTCATTAAGGCACAAATGGGTCACCGCACATTTGTGGACTTTTTGAAAATTTGTGAATAACCTATTTTTCACATCACATGACCAAACAAGAGAATATTTTGGAAGATCACGCAACAAACATGATGTGACAGGAAGCAAGTTAAAAGACCAGCTTTTTTTTTTACTGTCAGTGTTCATGTCCAATTATTAACTTGAAATGTTTTAATACTGTTTTATTTAATCTTGTTTAATGTTTGTATATTTTAAATGGTTATGATTATGCTTTTATATTAAGCCGCTTTGAGTCCCCTTTGAGGGAGATAATGGAGGTATAAATAATAATAATAATAATAATAATAATAATAATAATAATAGTAATAACAATATTTTTCACAAATATGTAGTATTTTCTATGTATATTTACTGAGAAATAATTCCCTTTATGTTCACATAAGATTACAGATTTAATTAATTTAATGCAAAATTAGTATGCCATGGCTTGTCGGCAATTCTAATGAAATTCAGATTCTGTTTTATTGTGATATTTGAATTAGTCACAGTAATTTCACTTATGATGGATCAACATAAATGCCACAAATGTGATTAAAAGGTAATCCTATTTACTTTGTAGAGTGTAAATCCCCCCACCCTGAGAAATAAATGATTACAAAATAAGATCTTCTACTTTACAAAAGGTTCAGAGAAAGATGGATGTTTCATACATGTTCCAGCTTTGCTTATTCTAACAAAAACATCTGTTGGGTTGTGGTGGCTAGAGGTAGAATTCAAGGGTGCAAGTCTACAGCAATTATAGCAGTATTTTGGATTGTTTCGAAGCAGCCAAACTCTCTCCATTGTTAAGCACTATTATACCATCAGGAAAGGAAACTGATTTGGAATTAAGTCTGTTTGACAGCTGCTTGAAGATATGTCTTGCTTAGTGATTTTTAAGAGTTTTGGCATATGGTTCTGGATCCAGTGCTTAACCCTAAAACTATTTACTACCAGTGGTTCTCAACCTGTGGGTCCCCAGATGTTTTGGCCTTCAACTCCCAGAAATCCTAACAACTGGTAAACTGACTGGAATTTCTGGAAGTTGGAGACCAAAACACCTGGGGACCCACAGGTTGAGAACCACTGTACTAGGCCAACTAGAGTAAATATATTCAATTAATGGAATAATTAATGGGTCCACTTTGGTTGAGACAAGCAGTGGGATCTAGGCTTACATCTCTTACTCTAAGTATATGTGCATCCCTATTTGCATGGAAATTATCAGGCTTCATGAATTCAGCATGTTTTTCTGGATTAAGGTGAGGTTACCTTTGAGACAAGGATCTGGCCATCTACCTGGCTCTCACCTTCTAAAATTAAACTTTTTTGTATGCCGTCCCAAATTGCCTTTGGGCTGAAATGGGCGGGATAAAAGTGACGTAAATAAATAAATAAATAGACTGTTTTCTCTCTTGTTAAAGTAGATGGGGGGTTTTGTAAAATACATAAGTATGTAATTCATATTCTTCTATCTATATTTTGGCAGATTTTATGTTGTTCGATCATGTAAACATCTGAATGTAACATATGTGCAGCTCCAATTTCTTTTTCTTTCTGAAATCAGTGCAGCGAGCCTGCTTCTATGTACAATTGTGTAGCATCCAGTCTGGCAGAAACCTTCAAATCTCTTTGAGTTTAGTGACTAGGAGTGCATATGTATTGTGAAAACTTGGCAATCTGAAACCAAAACCAGATACAGCATCTATGGATATGATGTCTATAGTAAAGCTATAATTTTACTCTGGATTTTGTTTGTTTGCTTTGCAAGTAGGCAGGCATACTGATCTGGGTGACTTTCCTAGGTCTCATCTGTTGTTTTCTGTCTCTGATTATGTTTTGGCTCTGTAACCTTGTGTGTGCTAAGCATGACATAGCTTCACTGATTTCTTTCATTTTACTGGTTTTCAAGCTTCTTAAGCCTTTATTCCCTGGGTGCTCTCATTTCCGTTCTGAGCATAGAATTGTTATTTCTAGAATGCTATCACCAACAGATGTAGACCATTGTTAAATTAAATATCAATATCTGTTTTTTGCATCAAACTCCAGATTAAATATGTGTGTGTCAATTGTTGATAATTTTAAGCTTTGGTTGGAGTGTTCACAGTTCTTAACCTAGGCTATCTTGTAATCTTTGTAATTATTAAGATATATAATTATTTTATGTTGGAAATAGAATAGGAGATCACCTTAGGTCTCTTGATAGGTTGTTTTCAGCTTTCTAGCTGAAGAGAAGGACAGTATTCTCAGTCTCTATTTCTTATCTTCAGAAGAATAGTGACCTGCCTGGTAATAAGTATAAAGCACTAGACTTCTGAAAGGCTTTAATGAAATCCCACATTACAGAGCTTTTATTGTTCCAAAAGAATAGCAGTTTTGAGAGAAGGGAGTCTAGAACAGAAAAGCCATTTAGGAAAGGAGGAGATGATTACCCTTTCTCCACTTGTTCTTACTCCACTTTTAATTAACTCTAGGGTACTTTTCTTTGAATAAAGAACAACATCAATCTATGCATTTTTGTGTTTTTTTAGTTGGAGTATTGAACTTTGTTACATACCTTATGGAATATGTTGTGTCATCTCAAATTATAGAATATTTGAAATATGTAACTCACAAAAAATCTATGTGAAAGGTTAAATTGATGATTTTTTTAAAATTAAGAGATTTTGTTCTCAATTTCTCTCTTATGGAAATATAATCATTGCATCCAGCAGAATGAGCTCATTGCTTGCTTCTGGGTGTCTTGCTAGGCCTCGCATGTTGTTATGCTTCAGCTGCTTATCTTTCTCTATCTCTAGCAGTCCAGCCACAGGAGCAACAGGAACAGTTGATGGTATCTTCAAGCCCAGTTTGGAGTGAGTAGAGGAAGGGACATAGTGACATGGAAGAGAACAGGTAGCTTTAAGAGTAGGTAGGAATACAATGGATGAGGGACAGGAGAGAAGACAGCCACATGTTTGTGTTTATCATTGCAGGAAAAGTACCACAAAAGGGGCAAGGATGTTTCTGAGCGGACAAGTAAATCTTCAGTAAAAGATACATTATCCTAGTGAAACCCCTCAGTCCAAGTGTTTCCCTTCAGAACCCAGGAAAACCACATTTCATAGACTTTCTCATCTATATAGAGAGCTCTCCTCTCCAGCCTGTCAATGAGGATTGTCTGACCTAAAAAGTAACCGAAATAACACAATATCAACCATTCTTCCCCTTTCCACTTCAGACACTCTTGAGGGGGTTAGTGGAGCATACTCTCTGCATGGAATGGATTTTGCATGGCAGTTGATTAAAGGAAGATAGCAGTTGCAAAATTGGGAAAAGAGTTATATCACGATTGGGAGAGGGTAGTGCGGTGAGCATTTTTGTGTGGACTGGAAAGGGGTGTGAGAAACCGTGATCTAGAATCCAGTTTAGAGAACTTTGCATGTAGCAAAAATGGAACTGGGGAATCTAGCAATGAATCGGGCGTTTGTTTCATAAACAAATCTGGAGATTTTTTTTTATTTTGGGCTTAATCCCCTTTAATTCAGAGTAAATGACAAAATTGGGGGTTTTCATGGTATGATCCAGTTTCTTATCATGGAGGAAAAATCATGCTGTAGTGATGCTTATTCTAGTAGACTTTGACCCCTGCAAGCAGCAGAATAACATAGCTATCTTTTGAAGAGTCACTGATAAATATATTCATCGTGGGGTTGTTGTCATAAATACATGTGGGGTAAGATGTTTATAAAGGCTGCAGGGTAAGATTATGAAGTCTTTTAACATCTAGGTAATCTTAGAAAATCTCCTTTACTTTTGATATGCTCCAGCTCTATCACATTTCAGCTACTATAAAATTAGGACAGTCAGCCACTGCTCTGAAATTACCACCATGGCTCTATAATTGCCATTGGTGATTGCATTTTGAAAATGCAGCCAATGATGCTGAGATAGTTGCATTTCTTTCAGACCAGTAATTGAGTCACTTTGCCCCTAACCTACAAAAACTCTCTTTATAAGCTGAAATAAGCCTTATGGGCATCTGTTGTGTGACTCTATTTGTCTTCATTTTCCTTGTGGTGCAGGTTTTAACTGTCTGTGTGAGGATAAGCCACTGCCTGCAGGAGCCCAAAAAGGAAGCCCAAAAAGAGAACCCAGAGATCCTTTCTGCATAGCTTCTAGGGAGAACTTTGTAGAGCGGTCAGTCAGAGAATTGGGACACCATTGTAGTAAGTGCAGGAGATTCAGATCCATAAGTAATCAGAGAGTGATGCTGAAACTTGAAACTCTTACTTTTTTTGAAATAATTCAATAGATCTTTTTCTAGAAAATCAATAATTCCCTAATGGCACCAGACTGTATCTGAACATGCAAACAAAACAGATTAGTATTTGAATGGGAGACCATCAGATTAGTATTTGAATGGAAGACCATCAGGTGGCATAGGCTATATTTCACAGGAAGGATCTGGCGAAACCCTTGAAAAACAGCCCACAGCATTCATAGGGTCATTATGGGTGAAGAGATGACTCCACTCTTTGCTTTAGAAATACCAATTACACTACAGAAGTAATCCTAAGACTTAACGTAGCCACACACAGTGTGATCAAGTAGTGAAGTTTTCAAGCATGTTTGCTTTTCTTTTATAAGCAGGATTTTTGCTAGTCTAATATTTGCTGGTGGAAGCTCAGACTCAAGTGGCTAAACCTTCAGATACTCCAAATATGACATCTTGATCTACTAATGACTACTTCCTTTTAAACTACTGTTTATTTTGTTTTGGTTAACTCAAATCAAATTATCTGAACACATAAAATATGAAAGAAACCAAAAGTATGAGTCATACTTTTTGACAATTTGTTTTCCCAGTCAATAAATGCTGTCCAATTTTGAATAAAATGTCTGATGCAATCATTATTTTTATTCATATTAAAGATGCACTGGGGCAAAGAGAGGCAAAGTATCCAGTTTTTTCTTGGTATGGTTTTCTTTCTAGACTTCATGAATGTTTACTACCAGATCCGTTCCAGCCAGTTGGATCGCTCTATCAAAGGGCTGAAGGAACACTTCCGGAAGAATAGCTCTTCCTCTGGGGTTCCTTATTCCCCTGCCATTCAGAACAAGAGGAAGGACACACCGACCAAAAAACCGATCAAAAGACCTGGTGAGTAGAGAATTTTAGACATCATGTTACATTGTTACTGGAATTCAAAGCCGCAAATTGTTTTCAGTCAATCTATTGATCTGTGAAAGGGATTCTCTTTGTCTATTTTATTTTAGCTACAAAGAACCCCATTCATAAAAGCAACATGTTGACATGGCACAAAATGAATTAGTTGTGGTCAGAAAGGAAGTGGTGGGTAAAGGACTCTGATTTTCTGGACCTAGTAAGAGCCTGTGTTTAGTGTGTTTCATCAACCCTAATGGCCCCATGGGTGGTTTCTGTTGCTGTTCTGACCCAGGATTAGATCTTAGCTTTGTGGGCCCAAAAGCCTTTGAATTGCATGCTATGAATCAGTTGCACCAATAAGAGTTCCTCAATTTTTAAAGGGCAAATGGATTCCAACATAAGTATGAACATGTTTCATCTACTTTCACTAAGTGTGATGAATAAAGGAAATAAGGTTTCACCAAACGTGTATCCATTCTTTCATCAAACAGAGCGGTGCTTTGGGTCATTCCATTATGAAACTCCCATCTCCTACTGTTGATAACACAGAGCTGTGCCCTTATCACAATAAATTGCTCTATGGAGTAAGATCTATACTTTTTGGAGTTTCCGGGAATTACTAAGGCTTTTTTTGCATTTAAATCAAGGATGGGCAAAGCGAGGCCCGCTAGGATGCGCTACCAGACACTTCGTAGCTTGCCCAGTGAAAAATGTAGTATTAAAATAGTATTCCTCCTGTCCCAGTCTTTAAATAGAAACCCAGTAGCTTTTTAAATAACTTGTTACTTCCTCAAGGGGACATGTTTTGGGGTCTTTAAAAGGCCCAAGAGTGTTGCTGGGGAAGGGTAAAAAATGTCCTGGATGCAATGAACCTACACTCCTCTATTTAAAGTGAAGCAGGAGAGCCCGTGGCAGGTCAGATGTTTTTTGAATTATGGCTGCCATGAATCCCCATCAACATGACTAATCAAGGATGATGGAAATTAGAATCCATGCAATGTGAAGGGTCACGTGTTCTTCCTATTTTGAAATTATTCTCACACCATGAAGATGCTCTTGAATTCTCCCCTTTCCTGAAACAAGATATTTTGTTAAGATTCTCTTCCTATTGAGTTGCTTTTAATATATGTAGAATGAAGCCGTTAACTGATAAGCATTTGGTAATGTTCATTTGGTATTATTTGGTATTTAAGCATTTGGTATATAAGCATTTGGTAATGTTCAAAGACACTGTTTAAGACGTATATTCTTCACCAGCGTTGTTCCATGAAGTGAATTTACGGTGTTGCATGAATTATACAGGAAAATGTGAATCGATTCCCACATAATTTTAAGTGTTCTTATGTAGAGAGGAAATAGATAAGTAGAGTTTGTAGAGCAGCTAGGAGGCATGGAAGTAGCATGTTGTAATTGTTTTATGTTTTTGCTTTTTTATATAATCCTTATGTGAATGACAGTCCTCATCCCAGGTAATGTGTGCCAATATGTGTCCCTTCTGCAGAACCTCTAAATGTCCGTGTGCTAAGATGCCATTGCGGGCCTGTTAGTGCTGCTAGCAAAGGGTGTGCTTGGCATATTTCAAGGGATAGCTGCCCATGAAGATCTCTATTGCTGTGGAGGGGCAAACAGTTTTGCTATCATGTTCTGGAGTTCTTCTTGAAAGCTGACCAGTATTGAGAAAGAATATGGAAATATTGGGGACTGACTCTACAGTCCATGTTCATATTGTGGTGAGGTGATCAGATCAGACACTGCATTCTCCCACCCCATTGCATCCCAGTTTGGATATAAATGGTTTTGGTTTTAAGTCAAGATTTCCCTTTCCGGCAATGGCACTCATTCTTTTCCAAGCCCAGAACTTTAAATATTGTTTGGACTGACAGGCAACAGTTTCTCAAATCTGTAAAACTGTAGTCTTCATGAACTCAACACTGTTGGGGATGACTTTGACATTTCTGAGTCTTGAAACCATTATATATTTATGGAGCATAGGAGCACTGTAGTAGATCAAACATGCCTTGAAGAACGTGCTATAATCCAGTTTCCTGTAGCACCTGTCATACCAAACTGAACAAATCAATTGCTTCTTACATGCTGGGTATACAAAGCTTTTAGCTATTTGAATTGGCATATTGGGCTCAAATCTGGTAGATGATCTATCCGAATTGACAGCGTTGTTCAAAAAAAAACTCTAGTGAAGCAAATCTTCCAAACTAATGGCAGATAATTGTGCCTTCATTATTCCTTGGCAGAGAGGGAGCTTCTCGGTTGTATTTCCCAGAACTATTCAGCTTTCAAGGGCAGCTCAAGAGGTTCTAACATATCTCTCAAAATTGTCGCTTTTGGTTTCTTTTGTTGAAATGTAATCATTTCTCTCTGTCTCTCTCTCTCTTTTTTTTTTGGTCTTTTCATCTGTCTTAAATGGGTAGAATAACTACTATTCCATTTTCTCTGCCATTGCTTAGCAAGTTTATGTTGTCTTCCATTCTCCTAGCTAGTTTTAAAGTTTCTTTCATTTTAAATTTTAAAAGACCTCACCTAAGCCTAAAACAACTGGCAAAATGGTTAAAACATGGTGGCATAATCTCTTGCCATTCTTTAAAGGGTGAGGGGCCATGTTGAATAAAAATATTATTAGGTCAAGTGATGAGACCTTCTAGGACCTAATGAGGGCCATATGCAGTCCCCCCAGACCTGCTTTTAGACAGGCCTTTTTACTTCATAATAAATCCCAGCAAACAAGCATTAGGGTGGAGGGAGAGTGATGCTATAAAATCTCTGCATTTGAAGATACAAATGATCTCCAGTAGAAAAAAAAAGATGGACATGGAGGTGAAAGTGGCTTTTTTCCTTTTTAATATAAACATTTATTTTTAGAATGGCAAAAGTATGATAGCTGCGACCCTACACTAGTAGCTGGGAGCATATGCTTCTTGCGCAAAGCGGGCCAGAATTAATGAAGGGAAGATGTGCGCAACATGGGTGAAAAGGGGGGACGGGACAGAAAAGGGGAACAAAAAAGGGGGGGGGAAGACAACAAGCAGCCAAGCATACTGCTTAAAGCGAGTGAAGTAATGTCAGAGTTATTTACCATTAAATGATAAAAAATGGCTTACGAAGACGATAAATGGGGTAGAAATGTTTCTTCTCCCCCTTTCTGGCGAACAGTGTTCCCAGGACTCTGACGCAGCTGTGTCTCTCACTTGCTCCACTGTCTCGCGTACCTCTTCCCTTCTTTAATTTAGAGCCGCGTTACGCAACTAGTGTAGCGTTGGGTCCCAGCTACCATACTTTTGCCATATATATATATATATATATATATATATATATATATATATATATAAAATATCTTTTTAATATAGGGAGAGTTGATATTTTAATATTTTTTCCTGTGCCTCTGCACCCTGCTTAAAAGTTCAGGTGCATGGGGAAGATATTATTCTGGCATTTCAAATAAAATGTTTTCTGGCATTCACCTCATGAAGGATGGTTTCTAATGCAAGGAAAATATATGCTCCATGATGAGTTATTCTCAAGAACCTTGTAAATGCTTCACTAGTTTTTCAGAGTGGGAGCCGTTCAGCTGGAACGATTAAATCACATGTGTCAAACTTGAGGCCCACAGGCCAAATCCATCTCACCATGTTGCGTGGTCCTCCAGATGCTGGACTTTAACTCCTGTATTCCCCATCATTAGACATCATGACTAGAGCTATGAGAGTTATGATACAGCCGCATCTAGAAGGCTGGAGTTTGTTGTGTTTAATCAGGATAGTGAGGTTTTGATCTAGATACAAGACTTGTGGATATGGTGTTTGGCTTTAAAATGTCCTTTAATGTTCCCCCAACCTTAGAACCATAGAGCTGTTGAGTTGCAGTTCCTATTATCCCCACTCCACATAACAAATAATCAAAAGTGATTGGACTTGTTGTCCAAAAAAATCTGGGGACCTGAATAGGGTAAGAATTAAAGAGAACCAACCACCATGTAAAAGAATTGTGTTGGACCTCTATATCCACATATTCGCCATCCATAGATTCAATTGGCCTTTGAAAGTAACCATAAGGCTGATGTGGCCCTTGATGAAAATGAGTTTGACATCTTAGTGGCTTGCCAGTTATGGTGGCAACATTGAGGCCCTTATAACACAACCTTCTGCTGACCTATTCTGAAAAGATGTTTCTTCCTGAGGACAGAACCTGGAGTTTTCTCACACTTTCTGGGCTGGTTGCAAGTAACTTAGAGGTCTTCAGGTCCATTATCTTGCTGGTGAATACACAAACCTATCACACAAGACTCCTTGGGTGAAGATCTTCCAGATGGCTTGCCAAAAGACAGTGCTCTGAGGACAGCTACATAAACTTGGAAGCAACAACCTGTCCCAAAAGCTCCTTTGATCACTGCCCCTACCATGAATGTTATGCCTTCATTAGTAACAGACATGTTGGTTCAAAAGTGCCTAATAGGAAGGAATAAATTTAGAACAAAGACATTTTTGGCTACCAGTAGAATCCATCAAGACCGAATTAAGATGCTAAGTGTTTTGCTCTTCGGTAGCAGTGAATTAATACACAGCCGTACTTCCTGCATTTGGAGGTAAACATGCTTAATTGTTCTAATGCAAATTGGAGAAGAAAGCGGGGCCTTTGGGGTCCTTATCTGCTGGAGAGTATAGAAGGGATTGTAATTGCAGTCTAGCTCATAATGATGCCTCCTACATACACAGTAGCTAAGCTCATTGATTTTTAACCACGCAAAAAAGGGTGCCAATTTCACCTGTGAGCCAGTTTTTCAGAAGCAGATGGCTTTCTCTATAATATCTTATAACAGAGTTCATCAAAGCATCACAGGCAATTTCATTTCAGGGAATCTGAAAGCATTATGTGGAAATGATCTCAGATTTTGTAGCAAAACAATTTTGTCTTTTTTTACAAAAGTGTACTTTAGCCAAATCTGAGTATGGAGGGGTTTGTTAGTTTTTTACAGCCACCTGGAATCAGCTCAATCTATTTTCCTTAATGTAATGATTAGATCTCTAACTTATTGCAAACGTTTTATTCTAATTAGCAGCTCAAAGGAAGTTGAGTATTTTTAGCTATGAACCATATTCCTACTGTATATTTTATATGATTATGGCATTGTGTTATATAGTTCTATTCATTTGTTTAGGAAACGTACTCATGGATAGTTGTGTCGGCTGTGCAACATAATCCAAAATCCAAAAAAACAGCAATACCTTTATTGACCATCCAAAATGTACAAAATACATGTGCAGACTTGCATAGCTTTACTGGCTTCTTCACACAGAGTGAAGAAAAGTGATAACATTACAGTACTAGGTCTGTAGTTTGTCTTAGATTTTCCTTCTGTTGTTAGGTAAGATGATATGCAGGAATCTTAATGTAAGCAGAGGCTGATCCTTTCCTTAACCTTGTGGGAACTAGGTTACATAAAATACCCAGTTAATAACTTTTCAACCCTATAAGCCATAGAAAGGTGACTTGCCTTGAGACCCAGGCTGCTACATTTCTGTTTCAAATGTAGCTGAAATTGCCTCTTGTCTTAAGTGACATCGGAGAGAAAAAAGTCCTGTGACTCTCATATGGTCACTTTGTTTCTGTATAATGTTTAACATCCTTTTCCTGATGAAGAAGCCTAGGAAGTATTGAAAGCACAATGTCATTTGTTTAGGTTTGGGCTCAGTATAGTTTCTAAACTGATATTAATCATCTGGATATCTAAACACTACAAGAGAGGCATATCCTTTGCTTTGCTCTTATCATCCTACCATATGCTGATATTTATTAAATAATACAACTGTATTCTTTCAACAGTGACACAATTAGTTGCCAGTCACTTCTGCTCCATCAGGTCTATCCATTGTGTTGACTTGCTATCTGTAGCCCACTTGAGAAGGTGCATCCCCTTCAGATTGCACTTCTTCTTGATGTGCTTCGTACTAATTACGAGGTATTTCTTTGTGTCAGTGACTTGGGTAATATTCCCATTACTATTCAGTTGCAGAACAGAACAATTGTACCATGATATCTAGCATAAATGGGTTGTGTCGTATTGTCATTTTTCTAATCAGCAGTCTTGCATAAAAGGCTGCAATCCCGAGAACTTCAGGGTGTTGAGACTGGACTCTTTATCTTTTTGAGCAAAAGTACAAGTGATGTATCAATCCCCCACCATATTTGGTCAATTTCTACCTCATTGAAAAGGCCATAGAACGCTCTACAAGTCTACATCTTCCCCATCTATTTTTTTTTTCTTTGATTGTGTCTACAGTGGTTGTATATCAGACCTACAGTGCCTGAGTTCTGTGTGAGGCCTGTGTGTGCTTCTGACTGTTATTTTGATTTGTTGCATGTTTACTAATACTTTCTCAAGTAAAACATAGGTTTGTTTGAGAACTGACATTTTAACGCTTTCTTTTGTGCTTTTTTCAGTGTTTCTTAGTTGCAGCATCCTGCTTCAGCTACAATTTAATTTTGCTCTGTTTAAAAATATAAAAATAAAAAAGCATCTGTTTTTGCAGTGCCATTGATATACGCTTGTCCAGAAGTACAGACTGCTAGGGTGGGGAAGGGGGACCCTTGACCTTTTTGTTCTTCTTTCCTTTGACTGTTCGGACAGGGTGGGGTGGGATCAGAGATGGGCTTTGCAGTGAGCTGCTGGCTTCTGTTGCCTTTGGCTTTCATGGGTGTTAACACTATTCTGCAAAGATAGAGCTTTTTCTCTGCTTTAAGATAGTTAGCAGGATTCTAATCTATTCAGAGTGAGAATGCTCCAGAATAACACACTGCCTTTAATATTTTTTGTGGTCATTTTCTCCCAACATCAGCAAATGGATACCTCATATGGCCTTTGAAAGCCCTTAGAAAGAACTCCTTTCTGCTTTTAAGATTATGGCTTAAATGTCTGTGCTTTCTATTAAAGGATTAATCAGAGATTTCCTGGGCTCTGTACATAGCTGTCCTCTTATAGAGAGCAGAAATCTGAATCCCACACAGTCCTTCTCAAGACCATTTTTTCCTTTGATGTTCTAAAGAAATTCAGTATTTTTCTTGTTGTCATGAGAAATGGACTGAATGTTCTGAAAATCATTATCCAAATTTAAGCATAGCATGAAAAAGTAGTTTGAATTTGCTTAACTTCAGTGTTGCCAGTACAAAAAGAGAAACAGAGGCTTAAACTGCATCTGCATGATAGAATTAATGCAGTTTGACACCACTTTAACTGCAATAGCTGAATGCTATGGAATTATGGGAGTTGCTGTTTAGTGTCGCACCAGCACTGTTTGGCAGAGAAAGCTAAAAACTCAATAAAGCTACAACTCCTATAAATCCATAGCATTGAGCATGGCAATTAAAATGGATTAAACTGCATTAATCCTATAGTAGATTCATCCAGAGACAGGAGCAGGTGGGAGTTCTGTTGCATAACAAGGACTCTCTTCCATTTCTTTATAATTGGTAGTCACATGGAACAAGCAGGTCTCACTCCACAGATAGGTTTATAGACCTCAGTAAAGATTAAACATTAGATGTAACCATAGCAGGCAATCTGCCTGGGGTAAGGCAGATTGTTTTTGGTATTTATGGTTGTTTTTAAAATTTGTACTATGCTATTTATTTATTTACTACATTTATATACCGTTTCTCTCCCCTAAGGGAACTCAAAGTGGTTTCCAACATTATAAAGGCAAAATTCAATGCTGTACATACATGTGAAATCCAAAAGATAATAATAAAACAATAGCATATAACTATAAATTAACCTAACCAAATTAATTTAAGATAATAAAATAACAAAATTTTAAAAATTTAAAAAGAAGATAGAAATGGGTAATAATGAAAGAATATAAAAACAGAGAATAAAATTTACAGAAGAACAAAGGGTTCCCAAGAGAGCTATATTTTGACAAGATGATGGTACTAAGTTAAGGATAGGTGAAGAAATCCCAAGCTTTGTCCCTACCTGCTTAACTGTACTTTTTAGACAGGACTTCTGATTGTGATTATACAGCTGCCTGTTTAAAACCATGCCATACAGCAGTTGATATGTCTTGCTCAGGCTGCATCTGTCATGTACAACACTGACCTTTATTCCAAACATGGAATTATGTATTTCCTTGTGGCACTTTTAGTATCATGAGAGCTAGTATGATGCAATGGTTTGGGCGCTTGACCAAGACTATGGAGATGAAAGCTCAAATTTCCACTTGGCCATGGAAACCCACTTTGGGCAAGTCACATTCTCTTGACCTCAGAGGAAGGCAATGGTAAGCCCCTTCTGAACAAGTCTTGTCAAGAAAATTAAGTAATAGCTGTGCCTTAGGTCATCATACATCAGAAATAACTTAAAGGTACCACTTTCTACATCACCTGTCAACCCAGATGCTGAAAAGGGTTATAATAAATAAATAAATAAGGCCTCTAAGATATAGAACCTTTATATATCAAAACAGAACTAAAGCAATGCAACCAGCATAATATGATTTCCCTTACACAGTGTTTTTAGAGCCCCTGTTAATACCTGCATCCTCTAAAAAGAAAGGGAGAAAAGGGAAATAGCATCTGCCTATCTCCATCATCCCTTTCTGTTAAAAAGAAACTGTTGGGGTTCTTGTATTTGCTGACCTAGAGGCCTTAAGTGTATATGTGAACTTTGGCAATATGTGAAATCCAATGAAGATTGCTCAGGGGAACACAATTGACTACATTAAAAAGGGCAGATCACTGGGTATCCTTAAGTGTGTTTGTATCTACAGAGCATTCTCACTGCTGGTCAGCACTACTACCACGCTAGGTTTGCTTGATGAGGCACTGGTGGAGGGCTGCTTTGTGTTTTGTTTCTCTCTCATTCATTTCCAAGGTCTCTTTCTCTTTCCTGTGGCTCTGGTGACAGGCACGATCCGTAAGGCTCAGAACCTTCTGAAACAGTATTCTCAGCAATGTCTAGATGGGAAAAAGGGGGCCTCTAACCTCATTCCTATGGAAGGTAATCACCTCTCTCACTTTCATTCTTTGGTTTTGATTTGGGTACCAGCTTTCCTTCCCTCTGCAGGGGTTCTGTTAGTCTTTGGCTCTACTCTTCATGTATAGTACAAGTTGCACAAGGAAGAACCTGCTTCTTTGAATTATGTGGTGTCAATAATTGATGTACCTGTTTTAGATGTTTCAATTCTCTGGTTTTAATGTAGATGTTTACCAATTATATGTTGTAAGACATTGTATTGTTGCCAATATGTGAGGCCGCTCTGAGTCCCCCTTGGGGTTGAGAAGGGCAGGGCAGAAATTTGATAAATAAATAAATATATAAATTTGACACTTGAACATTAGAATAGAAAACAGAATTGGATATTGAAGACAAACAGCTTTGAAAGCCTGTGATTTATCTGAATTTAAGAGATCCATGGTGCAGTTTAATTGGCTAACAGAACCTCTGTGGTAGCTTGATGACCTTTCCTTCTACGCTCTGTTCTTGTCCTCTTTATTTCTAAAAGTAGTAGCCCTTTCAAAAGTGACCAAGTTGAAACTGTTAAATTCCTCTTGTCCTTTTCTCCTTCAAGAGGTAACTTATTGTGGTTGCACATGCTCCTTATAATCAGCCATGTTTTAGTATCCAATATTTATCCTGCTTGAAACTGCTACTACTGTTAGGGTCTCCAAAGAAAGGGTGGTAGATAGGGTTACCAGGAAAATGCTTATAAATGTCTGACAAGCCAATAAAACCTGAAATGACAAGCACTCGTGCTGTGATGGTCTTGGATAAACCACTCCTTCTGTTACGCCCGCTGGCATCCCGCTAGGTCATGAGCATGATTTACGAGTTAAACATCTTTCCGATTCCCTGGTTGACAAGCATGGGCCGGCTGCTGGTAAGTACCATAACAAAATGTAAGCTGGCTAATCTAACATTGCTTTTTAAAGTATTTTCTTTCTCTTAGGAACCTTCCAAAGGAATGGGGACATGGCTCAGGGTGTTGGGCACTTGCCTACCAGACACAGACTGTTCTGTTCTCTGCCTATTCTCTAGAAGAGTTGGTATGGGTATGGGTATGCCAGACTTACGGCTTTTTAATATCACCTGCTCTTCACTATGGTGAAGCAATTCTCCTAGTGTTCTTACATGAGACTATCTGTAATATGAAATTCTGAAACCCCCTACCTTGGAGTGAGTGTAGGACGGGTGACATATAATGTTGATTATGTATTCTTACATGTGAGTGGGAAAATATGAGAACTTAAATGAAATCCTTTTATCCTTATCTTGTCTGGCATCTTCAACACCCACCATATAACAATAATATTTGTGAGGATTCCTTTTCCAATGTGATTGTACATCTGCTGAGTGGCAAAATATACCCTGTGTATCCTAATGATCAGGGTGCATGGTGGCTAAGTCTTAGGGTTGCCAAAAGTCAGTAGTGATTGAAAACACACAACAATAAGAAGATATCACATCTTTCCCATATCATCGTAGGTAGCCCTGTTGACATTAGTTTCAATGAGAAAGGGTGGATAGCTAACAGAGTCAAGGATCAGTCAAGAAGAAGACTAATATACTCCTTTTTATAAGCATAACAATCAGCTTATGTCATGAGATGCTCCAGAAGAAACCTTCTACAGGTGTGAATGGAAGGTTTCCCCTTATCTCAAGATTGCTGTGTCATAAACATTGAGTGTCATTGTGCTGAGAAAATGTGACCCTTAAATCCCCAGTTTTCAGTTTCGCCATCAGTCAAAACCAGATGCCCCTTAAACCAAGGCATAGTGCAGGAACATCAGGTTCCTGCACAACAGCTAATCTGCATGCCATAGCTCTTTCTGGATGGACGGCTTCCAGTTTCAGAAGCAGGACAGTATATTCGGTTGCTTTCTGGAGCCAGAAAACATTTCCTTAGGTGCAAAGTGTATAAGGGAGATAGTAAAAGCAGATCTGAGGCAGATTTAATATGTAGAAACATTTACCCACAGTGATTTGTACAATATACTGTGGTACAATCAATATATCATTTGATTGTATTGATGAGGGTTCTATGGCTTTCAGAGGGTCAAAAATCAGCAAGGAAGGAATAAGTTACTGGGACTGGAGTTGAGGGAGGAAGATATTTTTATAGAATAGATATGTATTCCATTATTCCCAGTGAAGGAACTGGTGTCTCAAGCAAAGAATGATATGAATCATTAAAAAGATCAGTCAAGTTGGAACTGCATTAGCTTTTGGCTATTTGGAAAAAATGATTCTGACAAAAGACTAAGCAAATACTGTTGGAGCATCAAACATCTTATTCTTCTGTTTTGAACTTCAGATTTATTTGATCTTTTCCCCTCAGTCTCACCTGAAGGACAAATTGTTTTGGCACTTTGGAGATGTACTAAGTTCTTTTAGCATAAAGATTTTTGAAGACATCAACTGAGTTATCAGCTAAAGTATTACTATTTTTATTCTTGGTTGGCATATATTTTGGAAATTGATTTAGTTACTAAATCAAAGCCATGTGCACCTGTATCTTGTGTTGCAGATGGCATCACCCCTTTTTAGAGAGTTCCTAAATGATGAGACAACTTCGATGTTTCAATTAATATATCCATTTTATTAGATAAATACTTTACCACACTTTAATAGTGAATTAATTCCCACATGCCAAACCAAGAATTAAATCTTAATTGTTGCTAAAAATGTTGCTAAAAGAAGGCAGGAGTTAATATTTTTGCACTAATTGAAGAAGGTGAATATTCTGGATTCACATTTTGCCTTTCCTTCCATAAGTGTGGAAGATACCTCATTAGTCCTTTCTCTGTATTTGGTGAGATTTAGTCAACCCAAGTACAGTTGAACTATGAATCCCATTTTTTCCCATACTGAACACAACGATAGTGTGTATGCCCTACAGGAGGGCATGAGGCAAAATGTTGGATTTTACAAGGACAGTGTAAGTAGAAGCACTTACACTCTGCATAAACTCAACAGGTGTATGTGTATATGTAATTCTGTTACATTAAACTGACATATTGTGTGCACATGCAATTCCACAGGGAGAGATGACATGTTGGACATGGAAATTGATGCATACATCCACTGTGTTAGTTCCTTCATCAAACTGGCCCAAAGCGAGTACCAACTCCTGACTGAAATTATCCCAGAACACCACCAGAAGAAGACTTTTGATTCTCTTATCCAGGTTCTGCTAAATTTTAGTGTTACCCCTTCCTTTGGCTGTTTAGAAAATCTGGTGTTCACTTTGTTGACTTATCCATTTTTTCTCCTACTCCTGCAGGAAACTTTAGACAACTTAATGATAGAGGGTGACAACATTGTCTCTGCAGCTCGGAAGGCCATCATGCGCCATGATTACTCAGCAGTGTTGACTATCTTCCCCATCTTGAAACACTTGAAACAGACAAAGCCAGAGTTTGATCAAGTTTTGCAGGTAGCTGGTTAGCCAGAAAATGTGCTGTTTTAAGGTCAGGTCATGAATAGGGAAGGTGCAAGATGCAGTTATTTGTGTCAGGACTTGGCCTTCAGACAGCTGTTGCAAACTGCAGCAGGGTAGAAACAAAGTTGCAGCCCAGATAAAAGGAAACAAGGTGAAGAAGAGGTAACTAAGTCTGAAGCGGAAATGTGTGCTTGAGGTTATTAAGTGGATCAAAGAAGATCAAAGAAGAGCACAAAAAGGGCCTGAAGATGAACAAAAGTTTAGGTTGGTGGCTGTTAGGAATTGTGGGAGTTGAAGTCCAAAACACCTAGAGGGCTGAAGTTTGCCCATGCCTGGTGTAGAGGGAGCCATATCTTTGATAGCTGGTGAAGTAAGTTAGGTAAATTAACTCAATGTATACATTACAAATACACATATCAACAAAACACAGAGCTGCCACATTCATATTAAGCAAAAACAATTGGTTCTTCTCTTGAAGTATGAAACAAAACCTTCATGTGAGTAAGAGTAGTCCTTGAATGTCAATAAATGTCCTATTCTTTATTGCATGCGAGTAGACTCCAGTAATCACAATAGGTGTCCTATTCTTATTGTGTTTCTAATAATAATAATAATAATAATAATAATAATAATAATAATAATAATAATAATGCAGCCCCCAAAGCTTTTTTGGGGGAGAGGAGGGAGCTGCCAGACTCTTAGGTCTAAAATGAACACTAGCCTATGATGGGTAAAAGTTGTTTGCATATAACTGCCATTGAATATCATCTTGTTACTCTTTAGCAATGGTGCCAGGCTTTGGCACATGTCAACCTGATTTTCTAAATTCTAGTCTTGCTACCTAAATGTATATGAAGAAGGCATCCTTATATAGGTTATTGTTTTTATAAAGACACTCCTATTACAAGTCTCACAGAGAGGTTGCATCTGAAAATCTTAAATGTCAAATTTTCCAAGAAGGAAAACACATCTCCCTTTACGAACCACTGCGAAAACTAAGATATTCTGGGGAGGCCCTGCTCTCAATCCCGCCACCACCACAGGCGCATTTGGTGGGGACAAGAGACAGTGCCTTCTCAGTGATTGCTCCCCGGTTAAGGAACTCCCTTCCTGGCAATATTAGATCAGCCCCGTCCCTCCGTCAGAAGGATGGTGAAGACCTGGCTGTGGGACCAAGCCTTTGGGGGCAGTGCAGTGAGGCAATAATAGAATGGTGTCCTGAGATGGTTTTTAAGCAACTGCTTTTAAACTGTATATAGTGGTTTTAATGTTTGTATATATTTATGGTTTTATGTCCTGGCATTTAATGTTTGCCGTATATATGTTGTGCTCTGCTCTGTGTCCTCTGCGGGGTGAGAAGGGCAAAATATAAATGCTTTAAATAAATAAATAAATAAATTTACAAAAATATAATAAAGTCAGGCAATACAGAACTGCCACACAATTAACAAAGCCTCTGACAAAGTTCTTACAACACCAGCTTCCATTTTCCTATTAGTCCTTTGCTTGGCTGGAAGTTTTTAAAGCAACATCTGCATTGGGATGAAGGTGAGGGAGAACAGGAGCAACACACACTATCTGATTCCTCTGGAATCTCTTACTAGACCTGTGTGGACAGCAAAATAGAGAGAAAAGGGCAAAGCAGATAAGCCTGCCTCACTGTCTATATATCTAACATGTTAAAAAAATGCATAAATGAATAAGTTTGGCTGCCAAAATAGAAATCGTAAAAAAGTGAAAGTTGGTGAAAGAAAGAAAAAAAATTCATCCCTGGATGATTTGAAATAATCTCTGGAAAGTTCAAAATGTGATGTTTTAACTCTATGAAAATCTTATTTGATCTGGTTATATCATATTGTTAATTTTGGATAAAAAGTTTATTGAAAGATGTTGCACTGCTCATCTTTTTTATAGTGTAGGAATCTATTCATCTTCTTTCCATACAGATTCTGGGGTTATGTTTTCTGTTAAAGAACTCATGCCTAGAAACACATTTTTATTAACTGAGATACTTTGTTAACTGAGGTATGCCTGTATAGGGCTTTATATAATGAACATTTAAAAATGTCATCTACTTTAGGGATACTCCTTCTCTCCCGCATGTGCACAACTGCATTTTTCATGAATGTTCAAGAAAGTTTTCATGGTTACTCTCTGTGACACATGTTATCAGGTTTACAAAGGATTTGCCAGTGCTCCATCCTGCTTAGGGTACATTTCACATGGAAAATGAATAAGGTGGGATTAAATACAGGACAAGAATAGCTTCTTAGTAAGAGAGCTTCTTGATATTCAGTAGAAAAATGTCAAGTCAAACATTCATGGGAGTTGTCTGGACAATGATTTTAATAAGAAAACAGTGTTGATACATGTTTTTATTGGCTCTATATGGTTTTTTTTATTTTATGGCAAATGTTTTTAATTGGTATTGGGGCATCGAATTGTTGCCGACTGTAAACTGCCTCGAGTTGCCTTCGGGCTGAGAAAGGCGGTATACAAATATGGTAAATAAATAAACAAACAAAGAAAGAAAGAAACAATTGTCTGAGGCTCTCAAGTAGCAAAACTGGGAAACACATCAATGTGCAAGCTTACTTATCCTGGCTTAGGCAGGAAACAGAGCATCACACATGATGACAGTATAGTCGCAGAGCAGCATGAAAACATGTCCAGTGTCTATTCAGATCTCTGACATTTTATAGACCAGTTGAACAAGCAACAATTTTTGAAGTCTGGTAACTGTCATGGCAGATGAGTTAACTGCCGGTTTTGTTACAGCTGAAGATGGGACAGCTTGGCTGGATCTTGCATTCTGGCATTCCCGTGGCTTTGTTTAGTCCATGGTTATAAACATCAAATTTATAGTATCTAGTTAAATACGGAATGTGGGGATTATGAGTTCTCAAAGCTTGGAGGGTTACTTTAGAAATGGGACATATCTATGTTACTTGTTACAGCATTACATACATACATTACATTACATACATAAAAAGTAATTCATTTTTGATGCATGTTACAGTGCTAGAAGGCAGATCATTGTGTTCCTTTTTAATTGTTTTTACAAAAGGCTTGAGATTGATAAAAGTGGTACAAAACCTGCACAATTTCATAATTAAGATCCTCAAAAACTCACTTTGGAAGTATCTAAAAGCTGTTAATCCTTACACTTTCAGAAGTGAGGTTGTTGCCACATTATGTTTGAAGGGCAGCTTTGTTTAAATCTTCAAGGCATCCCATCCTTGTAAAAAGAATAAAAATGTGGAAACCTCCTTCCAAATAACTGTATTGCACATAACTTGTTAACTTCCACACTCTGCATCTTCTTGGTGAATGATCTTAAATTGTCAAGGAGTACCTAGTTTGTACTAGTACTTGTTGCTAACAAAACTTGTGTGGGCGTTCCTAACTTTAGCTCAAGTGAGACATTACTCTCTATTCAGTGGATGATAGTAGCCATCTACTCTTTTCCAAACCTCCTTCATTCTTGACTCATGTATTGTGCTGAATATTTCAGGGCACTGCAGCCAGCACCAAAAACAAGCTGCCAAGCCTCATAACTTCAATGGAGACCACAGGAGCCAAGGCTCTGGAGGACTTTGCAGATAACATTAAGGTATATGTTGTGACTCTCTTGTATCTCTTTAAGCTACTGTGATTAGTTCCACAGACTTCTGCAAATATCCTGATAATTAATTTTAAAAGTAATGCAGATTTGTGGAAGATTAAGAAGGAACTGACCCAAGTTTAGAATGTGATTCCACCCAAATGCATTTAATCATGTCCATTAGCAGGCAGGTTCGCCAGCCAACGGAAAATTCCATAGAATGTTCTTTTTTGGCATCACTTATGGATGGCTATGGAAATGTCTTTGAAATATTTTTGTTTATGTATGTTTATGTATGTTTCTGCAGTCACCAGTAGATGGTGTGCTTGGCCTTTAGGGTTTTAGAAACTTGGTTCAGAGACATATAATAGCATGAGGATAATTGTCAACTGAATGCATTTTTAACCATGAATTCTATCTGAATTTTTCCTTCCTAGAACAATCCTGACAAGGAGTATAACATGCCAAAGGATGGGACAGTCCATGAACTCACCAGCAATGTATGTGAAACCAATTCAGAATGTGATTTGGTAAAACAAATCCAGTGGTTTTATTCCTGCCTTTTGTTTTTCTTTATGATGTAAAAAAATAGTCTTGTTTAAAAGTCTTGTTGGGCAGCCTTTATCATCAGGGGCTTCGATTGAGGACATAAACTGAGATTAACTATTGTGAATATAAATTCAGCTCTGGAATTTTTCTCTCATCTTTAATGCTATGTATAGCCTGGAGTCTTCTGTAAATATTGACCCTTAACTGTATTCTGTTGAGACCAGGATAGAAAATACAGTGTGGTCCCATCTACACTGCCATATAATGTAGTTTGAATTGCAGTATATGGTCAATGTAGATTCATATAATGCTAAATGAACTGCATTTAACTGGATTATATCAGACTACTGCATATTCCAGTTCAATTGCATTATAATGGCAGTGTAGATAGGGTCTGTTTCTTCCTCTGGCCCCTATGTTGTCTGTGAAGGGAAAATGCTGCCAAAAAAGAGCTGCCAAAATAGAAGTGGCCACCTTTACATTCTCCAGGTCCTACAGTTTTGAACATATGGGTGCCTTCTAGATTTGGGAAGTGCCATAGGAGACTGGTGTTGCAAGGAATTTTCATTCCCTTTAAAGTAGTGGTTCTCAACCTTCCTAATGCCACAACCGCTTAATACAGTTCCTCTTGTTGTGGTGACCCCCAACCATACAATTATTTTCATTGCTACTTCATAACTATAATTTTGCTACTGTTATGAATCGTAATGTAAATATCTGATATGAAGGATGTATTTTCATTCACTGGACCAAATTTGGCACAAATATCCGATACGCCCAAATTTGAATACTGTTGGGGTTGGGGTGAGGGAGTTGATTTGTCATTTGGGTGTTGTAGTTGCTGAGATTTATACTGTAGTTAACCTGCAATCAAAGAACATTCCGAACCCCACCAATGATGGAATTGGACCAAACTTGGCACACAAAATTCCCTTGACCAAGAAAAAAATACTGGAAGGGTTTGGTGGGCATTGAGTTTTGGAGTTGTAGTTGCATGAATACTCAATGTGCCCAAATGTGAACACTGATTGAGTTTGGGGAAAATAGAATTTTACATTTAGGAGTTGTAGTTGCTGGGATATATAGTTCACCTACAATAAAAAAGCATTCTGGATCCCACCAATGACAGAATTGGGCCAAACTTCTAACACAGAACCCCCACGACCAACAGAAAATACTGTCTTTTCTGATGGTCTTTGGTGGTCCCTCTGATACTCCCTTGTGACCCTCTCCCCAGGGGTCCCGACCCCCAGGCTGAGAAGCGCTGCTTTAAAGCATTTTATAGCCAGTCAGTTAAGCCCAGAAATGCCCACCTGTGTGACTCACAAGAGAAAGGAGCTTTCCCCTAATTATTCAGCAGTTATAGATATCATCCAGGGAACACTTGTCAAAGCATTCTCCAGAATTTCAGACATAAATTGGATGATGATGATGATGACGACAACGACGATGATGATTTAAATTGGGTTTTTAAAAATTGTTTTGTATTTGCTTTGTTTTAAATGGTGACCAAAGTGTAGGATTGTGAATTACCTTGACTCCCCATGGGGAGAAAGGTGGGTTATAAATAAAGTAAATACAGTAAAAAAAGAAAGAAAACCCAAAATTCCATGGGATTTGACATGACAGTTAAAGCAGAATTATAGCACTGTAACTGTGGGATGTGAAAGGGCCTTGACCGGGGACTTTGCACAGACCTTGGAGCTACCTTCAGGTAGAGAAGGGACAAAAAGGAAGCCTGTTTTAATTGAGAAGCAGTAGAAAGACTCAGAATGGGGTAGGTCTGGTGTGAATATTAGGAGCCTTTCCAGTGCAATCTTCAACTCCAGTAGATGTCCTTGAGATCTTTAGGCTGGAGAACACATTCTCCAGGTCCAGATTTGACTAAAGATAACAGTGGTGCCTGTCTAGTCCTGGCATAACTTGTCTTTGCACTTCCCTCCTCTTTTGCTAGGCTTATCATGCAGTTATAAGCCTTCAACAGAGTTTGGAAATTTAGGAGGGTAGGCAAGCATGGCTTGAGCCAGAAAGCTCAAAAACACTGCATCTAAATGATTGAGTATTTTAAGTGGTGACTGCCAAGTGAAGATTCGAACTTGACATTTTCCTGGAAGTGAAATCTGAGATGAGTAGTATCAAGCTGTTGGGGTTTAAGCGTGGTTTACTCTTGATCCTTACACTTCAGCTGAGAGGAGTGATTGGCTTGTTCCTTAATGATCAGGGATAAATAGAAAACATTTAATTGAACTTCCAGGGTTTTTTCTTGCTGTATGTCATTTCCTAAGCTGTGTGACATTCATGATTGCACTAATAGAAGGCTGCATTTTTGTTGTTGCTCATATAATTATTCTAATATCACCTTTGATAAGTTTTATGTTTTTTTTCCAGTCAACTATATTCTTTTGTAATCACTGCATGCAGAATATTTCATTTCACAAAATGGGAATAACAAGTGGATTTAAAAGTAATAACAGCAGCAACTCCCCTCTCCCTTTTCTTCATAGGCCATTCTCTTCCTGCAACAGTTGCTGGATTTTCAAGAAACGGCTGGTGCCATGTTGGCATCCCAAGGTAGTTGGAGGGGGCTTTCTTGATACAAGCACACATTCGTCCTACTGATCAAGTCATTTCCTCTGCTTGCTTTGGCATGAAACCTTCTTAGCAAGGGTGTGGCCATTGAGTCTGAGCTGCCAGAGCAAAAAGCCAGAGTCAACTAAGGAGTTATAAAAAAATCCCAAAGGGTGTTTCTATCAGCCTGTAAGTGTGCTGTGATGTCTGTGGTCCTTTAAACTTATGGACAAAGACAGCTGGTTCCTTTCATTATCAAAGACCAGCAGTTGTCAATGAGAGGACAGTTCTCGAGGGATTATTATCACATGAATGGGCTGTTAACTAGCTTCACCGATCCACTTGAAGTAATTATATGGAATAATCATTTGATTCTGTGCCAGTTTCTTTTAATGCAAGTGGGGATGAATTTTTGAAACCCAGAAAGCTTTCTGGCAGAATGAGAAGCCACTGTGCCGATTTTGCATATTCATTGTTGGTTTGAGTACTTCTGACTTCGCATCATAGGTCTGGGACATTTAGTATGGAAAGAAGTTTGTGGTTTTTTTGTTTGTTTTTTGTTTTACTGAATGTCTGTATTCCTAGATAGATATTTTTCAGAATACTGGTCCAAAAGATTCCCTAAGAAGAGATAACTAGAAATTCAAATTCCTTCCGTTACACAAAATAACTTTATGAACACAATTTAGTTTCTGGCAGGTGTGTAAAAAAAAAAAAACTCTTTTGTTTCCACTGACAGTTAGTGAGGTGCCTTTCGGTTTCTGTGCCACAACACAGGTTCACAAAGCTCTGAATCCGGGTCCAAACGTATTCTGGTGGTCAGTGCATGCCTTTAATATTCTAGATCAGTGATTCTCAACCTGTGGGTCCCCAGGTGTTTTGGCCTTCAACTCCCAGAAATCCTAACAGCTGGTAACATGGCTGGGATTTCTGGGACGTTTAGGCCAAAACACCTGGGAACCTACAGGTTGTGGACCACGGTTCTAGATAGTGTAGCAATAATGCATCATTGGAAGTCAAATATTTTGTGTTGATCTTGTTAAGAATACGTGTTAGAGATTATCATCATTGAAGGAGCTCTATTTTATTCATTCTGACCCATGCTAAGATGGTTGAATTGTGCCAACTGCGTCTTGCTTGTTCTTCTGCCATTTGTCTTTAAAGTCTGCCTGAATAACACTTGAATTGTAATCTGTTTCTGCTGGTGACTTTTCAGCCTCCCTTCCTCATTCCTACTTTGCCTGCTAAAATTGGTTATGGGTAAAGACAGTTATGGAGCAAGCCCTTTTACTGTCCAGAGGGGTCTCCTCAGTTTCTATTGCTTAGTTCCTGTGTGGAGGAGAGTTGGACTGGACATCCCTTAATGGTCTCTTCTAACCCTATGATTCTAGTGGAGGCAACAAAGAAGCATTCTGCCTTAAATTTTTGTCTGGGATTATAAAGATTGCATTCATTCACTGAGTGTAGATATGTAAAATTTGCCGTACATACTAGGCTTGTGCAATTCGGCTAAAAGAGATGCCGTTTCAGGGTCCAATTTTGGCTAACCTTTCATTCTGTTTACCGGGAAGTAACTCGCATCGGGAGGCGTGTTGTCGTTTTCATTCGGCAAAGATTCGGCCCATTGGCTACAATGGAAAATTTTAAAGGCTCAATCCTCAGTCATTTTAAGGCCTATCTGCATGAAACCTACTTCAGTTGTAGACTCCATTTACAACTGCAGGCCTGCCAAGTTTCAAAACAATTCATCAATCTACTGATTTTTTAGAATTATTTTAAGTTTTTACCATAACATTTTAAAAAACAAGACAAATTGCAAGAGAGTGTTCTGGGAATTGTAGTTGCCGGTTGTGTCCATTCTCAGCCAATCAGAGCCTTTTATTGACTGAGAAACAGAGAGAAAAACTTCAACTCCCATCATGCTCCAAGAGGAACTCAGAGACTTTTCAATGCCTGCCCCATTCAAGTGTTGTTGGGAAAGCAAGTTCCCAGCAGGTCCCTCTCTAGAGGAGGAGCCTTAGGAACTTAGGATGCTACAATATCTTTTCCAGGAGCCCTGCAACAGACCCCTGCCTCAGGTATAATGCAGACTTAACTCCATCCACTCAAGTAGCCAATGAATCCGGCTCTCTTGATCCATTTTGCCCAGCTTTTCGGTTGCCTCCTCTCCATTCTGTTTTCAGTTGATTACACGAAATGGACCACCAAATTCTACAAATAACTTTAGGTTAAACTGATCCAGGCCTAAGCCTTGTACATACTTCAAATCCTTATGCGTGTAATTGGAATAAATCCTCATTTCACTCAATGGGATAAATTTATGAGGAGACATGTCTTAAAGGGAGTGGCTCCTGTCTGCTGAACCCATAGTGCTCTGTGTTGGTATCTTCTGCTTTGTTCTTGAAGGTATGGTTGTCTCTAACCTGTCTTTTTGCACCTTGCATTTCTTTCTCTCTTTCTTTCTCTCTTTCTTTCTTCCCTATCCTTTTATCTCTACTCTGCCTCAAATTTTATAGTTCTTGGGGACACATACAATATTCCTTTAGATCCCAGAGGTAAGCAGTAGCAGTTCTGCTACCCAGGTGCATTTGCACTTGGTTAAATGTTTTTATCTGTCATTACTGTACTTAATAAAAGCCTGTCTGAATTATCTGAATATTTCCATATATCAATGATGGTACCTATGGTTGTTTTCTTAAACCTAAAATTGACCTATCTTGGCAACAACTTACTTTCATGTCAACTAAAAGTTCATAGGTAAAGGTAAAGGTAAAGGTTTTCCCCTGACATTAAGTCCAGTCGTGTCTGACTCTGGAGTGTGGTGCTCATCTCCATTTCTAAGCTGAAGAGCTGGCGTTGTCCATAGACACCTCCAAGGTCATGTGACTGGCATGACTGCATGGAGCGCCGTTACCTTCCCGCCAGAGTGGTACCTATTGATCTACTCACATTTGCATGTTTTTGAACTGCTAGGTTGGCAGAAGCTGGGACTGACAGCGGAAGCTCACACTGCTTCCCGGATTTGAACTTGCAACCTTTCGGTCAACAAGCTCAGCAGTTTAACCCACAGCGCCACTGGGGGCTGCAAAAGTTCATAATGGAGAGCAAAGCTTTCCATGGTTGTTGGTGGTGATAATGGACTATCATCCATTTTTGATTGAAAGAATTACCCTCTCTAGAACAAACTGTATTAAGATACATACATGTAATGATGCCCAAGCAACAATCTTGTCTGAGGCTCCATCTATAATTGACCATTCAATGCAGTTTGAAGCTATCTTCAAACTGTGCCAGGCAAAAAAACAAACTCCTACAGAAGTGAACAAAAGAAAACCCTTAGAAAGTGAACAAAAGAAAGCATTAATGTTACGAAGTTTGTGCAAATGCCATCTAGGAGTCAAACTGGTTCCAGGATTTCCTATGCAATCATTTGCACATTGAAACAACTTTCTTCAGTACCAGTTTGAAACTGCACTAAATAGTCAGTATAAATGGGACCTTAGAAAGCAGCTGTGGTTTTGAACAGGAAAAGAATGCCTGGCACTTAACTTTTATTAGCCTAAAATCTTTCTGTTCAAAATGAATGAATCTAAGTTGTTTTTCTCTCTGAAAGCGAGGTGGAGGTGGATTCAATACATATCTTCTTTTGCGAACTTTGCAAGATAAAAGAAACTGCTATGGAGGATAGGGCTTTCAGTGGGAAAATAGTGTATAAAGAAAGAATTCATTATCTCTCCTGCGCTTCTTTATGGAATTACATACGCACACTCATGCTATTTTGTTTATAAAAAGTGGTTGTCAAGATTATGGGGCATGCAATTTCTGCCATGATTCATGTGCTTGAGACTTCTTTGTACTTGAAAGGAGACGTCTAATAAGAAAATTTCTCCTTCCAGTGTTTAGATGCTGTTCTAAATGGGAAGTCATTCATTTAAGGGTTATGAGACATGCTTGTTCCCGAGTCTTTGCATTTCATGTTGACCCAGAAATTCAATTCTAAAATGCATGGGCAGGTATCCACCAATATGGTTGATTCAGGTTTGTTTAATTCTTTCAAAACACTTGAGCATGACCCAGCTCAGGAAGAAATGGTCAATGTTCATGAAATTTGGTAGATACCTTCCTAATTGTGGCTTGTTTATGCCTTCACAAATTCAAAGTCTTCTCCTGAGCCTCTGTAATGCTCGTTGTTATGGGCTGTGTTTTGTATGTATTTATGACCTAGAACTTTTAGAAGAAAGAAAGGAAATATCTGCAAGCACTCGCTTCAGAGAAGAAAAACCCATTGTCTTGGTGTCAGACAATAAAGTATTAATAGTACAAGCTTACAATCTGATTCTAGCTCTTTAGCCAAGCTAACTCAGAAAAAAATTAAAAATTCCCATTGTAGAAAATAATTAATAAATGATGCAGCTTGAGAATATTGACCTTGATAGAAGCAGAGGGAGAAAAAAACAAAAATAAAAAAGCATACTGAATTGGTACGCTATTCTTCAATCATGTTGAAGTATACATGATACAGTCTTCTGGTGGCAGCTGGCTATAAGGTATTCTGTGACTTGATACTTTATGTCCTTTTACAAAAGGCTGATAAAATTTTATTTGCATCTGGATGATGGGTGATCTTGAACACATGGACTGTGTCAACCCTAAGTGGCTTGCAGTTAATTGACTGATGACAGAAGACCAATTCCTGATAGGTAGAGATGGGCAGGCAGGAGCAGCTAGAGACAGTATATAAGTCCTCTTTAGACCAGAATTGGTAAGTGGTCTTTTCAACTTGCTTCCATGTCTGTATATAGTTTTTGCCTAACAGTGGATTGCTGTGAGTTTTCTGGACTGTATGGCCATGTTCCAGAAGCATGCTCTCCTGATGTTTCACCCACAATCATGGCAGTCATCCTCAGAGGTTGTGAGGTCTGTTCGAAACTAGTCAAGTGGGGTTTATATATCTGTAGAATATCCAGGTTGGGAGAAAGAACTCTTGTCTGTTTGAGGCAAGTGTGAATGTTGCAATTGGCCACCTTGATTAGCATTGAATAGCCTTGCAGCTTCAAAGCCTGGCTGCTTGTCTAACATCTGAATCTTGTGCATGATAATGCTGGTGATATATAGGCTGTTAAAAGCTGTATTACAATCCTTGTACATAAATCCTTGTGTGATTTCCCCTGTGGGTGCCTCTGGAGATGTTTAGAATTCCTCTACAAGTGATTGTATTAGAGTGTTGCCTAATATGTTTTAGGCACTAGGGACCCTTTACTGATGATATATCAGAAGTGCATGTGTATAGATCTTACCTAGAAACTCATCTTCCAATTTTTTATTGGTATCTTTTGGATACAAACGCCGCAATTAGAAGGTGACAAGAGGCAATCTCAGATACATAAAATGTAGCTAACAAGAACCCTTGATTCCTATTTCATCATGCTTGCCTGAGTCAGTCTGCACTAGGGCTATAAATCTTTTCCTGTCCTGTTCTCACATATAGGAGCGAGAAAGCACATATTTTTCTTGTCACCTGTGTGACGTTGTGCATTATTATTTTATCTGTCTCTGGAGAGATCGTGCATTATTGAGAATTTCTGCACAAATAGCATACAAAAACACCTCCAGCCTTGTTGCAAAGATTTTTAGAACTTAGAATCTTGTGGAAGGGTGTTCAGGCCTTTTGGGATAATCAGGCAGTTATTTTGTGTTCGCTCTCTGGCTGTGTGTTTTCCTTCACAAAGGGAAAAGACAAGGTTTTGTGTAGCAGCTCTTTCTGACTCGTGCTTGAATTAGAGCAGAGAAATCTCATAGAGATTAACAACCTCTCAACAGTTAGTCTCAGTTTCCGGGCAACCTGTCTCATCTATATATATAAATTTGTTAGGGGCATCCAACGAGGAAACAAAACTCAAAAACCCCCCAACGAAACTTAACCAAAATTCCCATGCCCATAACACAACCCACAAGGTACAAACATATCTACTCAAAATGAAAAACAACACAACAACACACTCACAAAACGGCAAAACAACAAAACTCAAAAATCCCCCAACGAAACTTAACCAAAATTCCCATGCCCATAACACAACCCACAAGGTACAAACATATCTACTCAAAATGAAAAACAACACAACAACACACTCACAAAACGGCAAAAGGATAAAACTCTAAAAAAACCAACGAAACTTAACCAAAATTCCCATGCTCATAACACAACCCACAAGGTACAAACATATTACGCAAAATGAAAAACAACACAACAACACACTCAAAACGGCAAAAAAACAAAACTCAAAAAAACCCCAACGAAACTTAACCAAAATTCCCATGCCCATAACACAACCCACAAGGTACAAACATATCTACTCAAAATGAAAAACAACACAACAACACACTCACAAAACGGCAAAACAACTGAGCATGCGCATTGGCGCCCAGCCGCAAGTTCCCTTGCGCGCGCACACAGCATTCCGGCCAACTTTCCCTCTGCGGAAGCCATGCCCACTCCAAGCCCTGCCGCGCCGCTTCCCGCACACACACACCCACTGCCGCATGCACACATACAACCCCACGCTCCATCACTTCCCCCGCTGCCGCACACACACATGCAACCCCACGCTCCATCACTCCCCCCAGCCGCACACACACATGCAACCCCACTCCCCCTGCCGCCTCACACACACGCAACCCCACGCTCCATCACTCCCCCCGCTGCCGCACACACACACACAACCCCACGCTCCATCACTCCCCTACCCCAATCTTACCTCCTTTTACTTCATGCCACCTCCAAACCCCACCCCGCCCCTTCCCGCCCTGTCAAAATCCAGGAAAGACAGGAAGGAAGGAAAGAAGGAAGAAAGAGAAAGGGAGGTAAAGAAAAAGGGGGAAGGAAGGAAAGTTAGAGAAAGAAGGAAGAAGAAAAGGAAAGAAAAGGAAAGATGGAAGGAAAGAAAAGAGAGACAACAGAAAAGAAAGAAAAAGGGGGAAGGAAGGAAAGAGATAGAGAAAGAAGAGGAGAAGGAAAGATGGGAGGGAAGGAAGGAAGGAAGGAGGGAAAGAAGGAGAGAAAGAGGGAAGATTGGCCACAGCAACACGTGGCGGGTAAAGGTTGTTATTTCTATTTATTATTATGCTATTGTTCCTATGAGACCCTTTTAGGGGGAATGGGAGAGGTGTCAGGTCCCCAGAGGCAATGCATTGCATTATTGTTATTGTTATGATGGTGGTGAAATAAAAGGAAATAAAAAGTGAAAGAAGGAAGCAAACAGGGAGGGAAGAAAGGCAAAGGAAGAAAGGGGGAGGGAATGAAGGAAAGAGAGAAGGATGAAACCAAGTAGTGAAAGAAGGAAAGAAAGAAAGAGGTAGAGAAGGAAGAAAGGAGAGAAAGGGGGAGAAAAAGGGGGAAGGAATAGGTAGGTACCTCTCTTTCATAATAGTCCAGATATCTACCTCAACTTTGATAAGTTTTACTATAGGCCACAGCAACGCGTGGCAGGGCACAGCTAGTAACTAATAAGTAACTTAGTGAGATTTATTCATAACAGGGTCAGACCTAACCATAACTGTAAGCAAAGCAATTTACTGTAACTATGCCCATTCTGGAAAACTGCATTTATATTGTGTCTCAGAAAAGCGTGGCTCTATTTGCACCACAAGAGCGAGTGATTCTGCTCCTCATCTTCTTCTGCTCTCAAGACAATCTGCTTCAGAGTTCAAGCAATTAAGTGACACTCAGTTGATTGATCTCAGACATAATGTGTGTTGTAGAGTCTTAAGAGCTGCTATTCAGAGGATAGATCTGCTATCTTTAAAGACACAGGAATTCACTTCAGCCCATTTGAACTACATAGTCTAGATGTGACGGTGGTATATGATATTCACACATCAAAGTGTTAACTGCACTTTTATTGATATAATAGCATCGTCCATTTTCTGTGATCTCAAAAACAATGTTTTTATTCTTGTTTGAATGAGATTTTCTTATATTGCTATAGTGGTTAGAGTGTGGGTCACTCTCTATGAATTAGCAGTGCACTTGTTCCAGATGTTGCTCTTAGAATCCCTGATTATTGACCTTGCTGGGTTCCAGGTTTGAAACCCAGCAACATCTGGAGACCCAAATGTGTGTGCTTCTGCCCTAGAGCCAAGCAAAGGTGTTGTCTTGCTTTTACATATTTAGTCCAAGATCAAGTAGTTTAGTTGACCTCAATAGTTTTTTTTTTCATGTCAGGAGTGACTTGAGAAACTGAAAGTCGCTTCTGGTGTGAGAGAATTGGCCGTCTGCAAGGATGTTGCCCAGGGGATACCTGGATGTTTTACCATCTTTACATGAGGCTTCTCTCATGTCCCAGCATGAGAAGTTGGAGCTGACAGATGGAAGTTCACCCCATTACGCAGATTTGAATCACCAACCTTTTGGTCAGCAGTCCTGCCGGCACAAGGGTTTGACCCATTGTGCCACTGGTAATAGTATCAAAGTATTTCTTATGTGGAGATAAAATAGCCATATAAAAACTATCATATGGCATACTGTCACTGATTTAATGTTCATTTCCTTTCAGAGACTAGCTCTTCAGCCAGTAGCTACAGTTCTGAATTTAATAGAAGACTTCTCAGTACCTACATCTGTGAGTAATCTTTTTCAGGCTACTAGCTGTTTTCTTTTCACAAACTGCAGTCCTAAACCTCCAACAATTTGCATGACAGCTTGATCCAGTTTTCTTGCTGGATGGCAAATCACTGTGACAACTACTCTTTAAATCCTAATATTTCCTCTCTCATTTGTGAAATGTATCAAAGAAGAGGAAAATATTTTTAACAAAGAGCTTTTGTTCATTAAGTGTTAGCTATCTTGCACTTGATAAACCGTTTATCAGAATTCTTTTTAAAATAATCGTTTTCTGAGTTATAATACATAAAATGAATTGAATTTTAACCATAGCAAAGTAGACAATCTGTATACAGTCCTAATACCTTTTTCAAACCTGGGATCTTTACGATGGTCTCACTTCTATTCATGCATTTCTTCTTGTTAAGGCAAAGTTCTGGGCAACTTACAATTAAATCTTCTCAGTAAAGCCAAAGTTTATGAGGATCCAGCTTTAAGTGCCATCTTCCTGCATAACAATTACAATTACATCCTGAAGTCCCTTGAAAAGTAAGTTCATTAATGTCTCTACATTTTCTCAGTGCATGCTGGAATTTCTGGCAGTATATTATGTTCATATAAGCTTCTCGAAATGTTTCCGTGGAGTAGGTTTTTTATTCCAGTTTGTCTGCTCTTCTCATATTTCCTTTGAAGCCTGTCATTTGTAATATAAACATCATCTTGCATGAGGCTATGGCAAATAAAATTAAAGCATGCAAGAGGGTTCTGCTTGCATGCTTTTATCTTGCCATTGAAGACGCTCTGCTTCTGGAGAGCACTTTACAGTAAATAAAGGAATAAAGGTTTCATTCTGTCTCCCAAGGGCAGTCACTCAAAAACCTTTTAGAGTTTAAGTGGAAAAAAAACTCTACGGTTTTAGTTTTCTATAGTTACCAGACATGTGGTAATAAAGAAAAGCTGATGTTTATTCATGTTATTGTGTGCCCTAAGAGGCCAAAACTTACTGCCATCAGGGAAAATGTAGGACTTATAATGACCCAAGTAACAAATGGAAGGAAATGAATAAAGCCAGAGAGCATTTCCTTGTAATTTTGGTGTTAGTATCCCACTTAACTGGGTTTACCAAGCCTCTGATCTATGTACTCAAATTTTTTTTATGTAGACACAGAGCCTTTTCTTTTTACACCCCAAACAACTGTTGTGCACCATTAAAGTCTCTTTGCTAGGAATCCATATTGTTATTTGTTTTCGTTTTCCTTAAAATGGCAGCCACGTATAGCCCCAACATTTGTGGACCTCCATCTCTATTAAAACTATAAGGCAATCAAGACATTGCTTGAATTATGCGCAAATGCATCTTGTACTCTAAGCTGAAAGCTGATTCCACTTTAGAAGCTCACTGAACATTTAATAGTCTGTTTCTTTTGTTCTAGGTCCGAATTAATCCAGTTGGTGGCTGTGACACACAAGACACCAGAAAGATCTTACCGAGAACACATTAAACAGCAGATTTTAACTTACCAGCGCAGGTCAGAAGAGCCCACCTGGTCATTTCCCACTAGAATAATGGCTTGAACATTAGCATCTAAACTTAATGACCACATGAGGGGGGTTTACAGCAAAACATGATGAAAATGAAAGAAAACACGCTCTCCTTCTTGAAAATCCTCTTTCTGTAAAATGATTAGCATTGGTGGTGTAAAAAATCTCCTCTCTAGGCAGAACCCACAGTTCCAAACCTATAGGCTCTTGTCACTCAGCTTGCCTCCTTTCCCTTCAAGATCCCTCACTGGAAAAGGAGCCTGGGTGTCAAGGGGTGCATCTATACTGTTGAATTAATGCAGTTTGAAACCACTTTATTTGCCATGACTCAATGCTTTGGTTTTACAAAGTCTTTACCCTTCTCTGCCAAAGAGTGCTAGTGGCTCATCAAACTACATTGCCTATGATTCTATAATATTGAACCATGGTAATTAAAGTAGTGCCAAACTGGATTAATTCTACAGTGTAGATGCACCTCAAGTGCATCTACATAGCCAGTGTATGTCTTGCTCAGTGGGTTTACTGTGGCAAGCATGACCAAACTCTTTATCAAAACATAACAGAAGTTTATTTATGCCCAATTAGAACAAACATTAAATCCTGAACTATTTAATTGCTCACATCTCCCAAATCCCTGTTCAGATTTTTTCCCAGCTGACTCTCATAACCCTGTTAGGGCCTTTCTCTGTGCAATCTTTACCACATCTGCGTTCTTCCAGAGACAGGTCTCAGTTTTGTATCCTTTCTCCCCAAAATGCCCCAAAGTTCCCTGCACTTTGCAGCATTCCCTGAGCTATGACTGGCTGGCAGCAATAAGGTCTGTCAGTTCCCCACTTCACAGTTGGATTCTAGATATGATCTGAGCAGCCCATTTCATTTCTACAGCTTGCATTCTCAAGTATAGGCTGCACTTTTTAGAGACTGCCAGTACTATTGCCCAAGGCAGAGTGGGGCAACTTTTAGCCCTCCAGGTGTTATTGGATTGCAAGTCCCACCCACCATGGCATGCCATTGAACTACCATTACTTGTCCTCTTGACTAAGGCTCATGAGAACCTCAGGTTGGTAAGAAATAGCAGGCTGCATGTTACCCATGTTTGACTTGAGGTATTTTCAGAGGGTGAAGTCTTTCAATGAAAAAGGAAAGAAATGTGGGCTATGTGCTCTTGGATGTTTAGATTTTAAAAATGCATGGGATATACGCATAAATGCACATTGAGGTACTCCCTTTGCATGTGCTGTCTAAAAGTGAGCTGGAATGGGATCTCCATGTTTCTTAACAAACACAATCTGAATCTCAGCCTTGGGGTTTGTGTGCCAGATCTGTAATGTTACTACAGCCACCCCTCTGTCTTTGCTGGGACCCCCCCCCCCCCAAAATGAAAAATTACAAAGAAAGAAATTTCTATTGTTTCCTCTCTAGGAATTTTCAGGTTTTCTAGCACAACTGTATGTTCAACTTCCTCTCAAAGCTGACAATAGAAACACATTGGAAGATCTAGAGATTCCTAAAGCGGTGTTCTCTCTAGAAATCCTTAGGTTCTCCATCATAACTGGAGGAAGTCAACCATAGAATTACACTGAAGGACTTCAAGATTCCCCAAAAGAACATTTTAATGGGAGTTTTACTGCCAATATATCTTACTTGAATGATTATTTTTCTTGTGATAACCAGTGGAGGCCTTGCCTGCTTTGATTACCCTTCTTCATTTCTTTCTCAGTTGGTTAAAAGTAACAGATTACATCACAGACAAAAATTTGCCTGCCTTCCAACCTGGAGTCAAGGTGAGAACATTTCTGTTAGAAAAATGTAATGCATACTCCCCCCCCCCCCCACCCTTCACCAAAAAAAAAAAAAAAAGGTGTGAGCCAAATGCATGCAACATTAAATTCATATACAGTGGGCCCTTAGTAGCCACTGCTGTCTGATTCCAGGACATCCTCTATATACCAAATCCATGGATCCATTAGTCTCTTTATATTCGATGGCTTAGTAAAATGTGAAAATCCCTTATATAAATGGCAAAATCAACCTTTGTTTTTTTGCATATTGTTGGTATAAGATTTTCAGGCCATGGATGCAGAATCTGTGGATATGTGGGGACGATTGTATTGCTTTAAAACCCTCACGTTATTGGGGATTGCCATGCAAGCAAGTTCTGGAATGCAGTGCATGGGGGAAGAGCATGAACACGTTCCCAGGACATAGTGGTCCCACCAACTCTCTCCTCACCAATCTGATGATAACTGACATCACTGGACACTCTCCTCCTGTGGCCAAATAACTGGAGGAAGGAGGGTTGCTGGACCTCTGTGCTCTGAAAAAAGATCAATGCTCTCTTTATCCATGCACTGTGTTGCTAATGTTGCTTGCATGACTGTTCTGGAGACTACGGCCTGAATAGGTTTCCCAGGCATGTGGAACACACTCTTGGGACTAATTCTTCCTAAATCACACAAGGGCAACTGTTGTCCTTCAGATGGTATATGTTTATGACTCCTGGCATTCCTCACCAACACTACTGAAGGTGAGCAAATCTGGGGCTTGGGAGTCTATAAAGTGTAGAGGCACAGTTCTGCTTTGAATCCCCATTGGGAGAGATAAAGTGGGGTATAAATAACTGTAATAAATAAATTCCCAGTTCTTTTCCTGGACAGCAGTATTATCTGAGGAGAAGACATAAACAGAAGAGCTCCTCTTTTTTTTTTTATTCCTTCACAGCTCAAGGATAAGGAGAGGCAGGTGATCAAGGAACGCTTTAAGGTAAGTAAATCAAAGATTGGACAAATCTTCTAGCTTGTGGCTTGGAACACTTTCCATTCTTGTTTCCCTTTACATTCTGCTCCAAGTGTGCACTTAATGTAATCTTCCCTGTGGAAAAGGGCTTTAACGATGGCCTAGAGGAGCTGTGCAAAATCCAGAAGGCTTGGGCTATCCCTGACACAGAACAGAGGGACAAAATCCGGCAGGCCCAGAAGACCATTGTGCAAGAGGCCTATGCTGCCTTCCTGAGCAGGTGAGCATTCGTCCTCAAAAGACCCCATTAGCTGCCCAGAAAAAGTGTAGAAAAGGCTTTGAACGATCTCTCCCCGTGCTCTGATTTCTTCTTTGTGTGTGTAGTGCACTAGCTGGTGATCTCTGTCCTTGAGATGGGTTGAGAAAGCAGACTTTTATGCATGAAATTTGGGTAGTGTGGCTACAATCTGGCACACATCAAACTGGTCATCCAGGTTTTGATGGTAAACATGATCTGGCTGTGTATCCTTTGGGTAGATACAATGACTAAACAGGAATAGATGATATTGTACAGTTGGGACCTGTAGCAAAACATGTCAGCCATTCCACCCCATTTCTCCCTCTTATTGTTTTTCCTGGAGATCCCCTCAAGTCAGGCCTCTGTACCTATTAAGTCCCCACTGGACTGCTTTGTAAATAGAAAACACACTTTGAATTTTCCCTTCTTCCGCAACAAACAAAGATTCTCCCCAGTCTATGCAGTTTGGGCTACATAGTGATTGGTCCTTGGACTTCTGATGTTGCTGCTGGTATAAATAATGGTGGTTGTGATGCTGGTAGGAGGGGAAGGGGGGCACTAAGTCACGAGAAGTCTCCTCTATGCTTGTCACACAAGATTTTCTTTCTTTTTGCCTTGGCAGGTATGGTAATGTGCCCTTCACCAAGAATCCTGAGAAGTACATTAAATACAGAGTGGAGCAAGCAGGCGAGATGATTGAGAAACTCTTTGACACATCTGCTTGAACCCACTGCCTGTGGATCCATGGTTTCCTATTCTTTTTTCCAGCTGTCTATGAAGTCCTATGCTTTATGCTAGTATTTATAAACTCCTAGAAACACAATTTATGGCTTGCTTGATTTCTTAGATCTTTGTTGAGTGTGTGATACCTGTATGTTTATTTATGAGATAGTGGGTACATGGGGAATTTTTCTGTTTTCCAGGGCACTGTTTCTAACTGATATTTTCAAGGCAAACCTTTAAAAGTAAACTTCAGTTTTTAAGCAGCTGCTGCTTTCTTTTCCTGGTTTTCTACAGGCCACATTGAAATAAATGAAATTAGGTTCAAGAGAGCAAAGCCAAGAGAACAATAATGAACAACTTGTTACTTACCTCAGGCTTGCTTCAGCAGGAAAGTAAAGAGAGACACACACATTTGTATCATTTTTAAAGGGATAAATGAATGGTGGATTAGGCAGCTAATCATTAGATGTTGTCTCTGATATTTTCTAAAGAGATATCTGCATTAATCAGTCACTACATAAAAAGACAGGAAGGAAGAAGGGCCTCGCAGCACCTGTAAGGCTAATGGGTTTATTTCAGCATGGCTTTGGTCCCCTTTCTCTGCAGACAAATAAATATTCTTCATAGAGTTTGCTCAGGGAATTATGTAGTCCATTGTCTGAAAAATGCACCATGGAAGCCTGGATGAAAGTGTTTTCAAGCATTCCTGAAAGAGAATGAATTACATTGCAAACAACTCTGGGATCTTTATATGGATTATCTCTTCAATTACTTGCTCCATTCGTGTTTTACCAATTGGAGATTCAAGAGTATGCTTTTGAAAGCCTTTCTTCCTGAGGATTCTTCCCTAAATATCTGATCCTGACAAACAATACTTATGTAGCACTGTTTTAAGAACATTGATGCAGTTTTGAAAAGCCCACATGAATTTTCTGTACAAGTTGAATGCTGCAGTTAGAGGCAGGAAAAATGTTTTGAAGTGGCCAATAAACTGATGGGTTAACTAACGGATTTATGGAAGAAGAATAGAAATCCTGACATGGAATTTCTTTAAGTCGCTCTCTTTAGCCGCTTTGACTCTTTTGTAGGGAGAAAAAAGCAAGGGTATACACAAAGTTTGGAGCAGTTTAGCAACAGCCTATTTTTCTTATAAAAAAATTAGGACAGTTTTCAAGAACCGCAATGTATAATAACCCAGGTTGAAATATTATTTCAACCCTTATGTAGGTTGGTGATCCAATCTTTTAGAGATAACATCCTGGGTGAAAAAGTATTTGTGGAAAGGATTGAGGAAGGAGCCTCATCAGGAGGAAAATTACACCAATTTGCATTCCACTTGGGACTCCCTTGTTCAGTGATCCCCAAGCTGTTTTTGACCAGGGACCACTCTCCAACATTAGTACCAAAAGGCTTATGAATCGGTTTTTGGTCAAGTTTACATTCAGTTTGGTTATTGGGGATACTGATTCAGAAAATTGAATTGGACAAACCACGTCAACTCTAGTTTCTGATACCGAATATATGCCATCCAGTAGTCGCCATCTGCCCACCCACAGAAAACTATATTTAATAATCTGGAGCTAATGTGGTATATCCAATGCAATTTTCTGAATCAGCACCCCAAATAACCCTGGAACAGGCCTAAAAACAAAGACACCTCTTTTGTAGGTAGTCAGCCTCTCCCCTCCTGACATCCCCGTTGCCTCAGCACTATAAGAGGGTTTCATGAGCCCAGTCGCTCTCATTGCAACCATGAGGCCACAGACCAAGTTTTAGTTCTTGCAGGTCACTGGTGGTACACAGACCACAGGTTGGGAACCACTGCCCTAGTTGAACTCCCAACAAGTCAGACGGCACCACTTGCTTTCTCTTGACTAATTAGGATCACAGGATTATCCCATTAGTCATTCAAAAACATGGTTGCAGCATGTAACATTTCTTTTACTATCTTTGTCTTCAGTCTTCTTAAATATATTTGATTCATAAGGCAAATTTATCCTTTTGCTCTGCAGCTTTTGCTATTGTTCCTTGCCTTTATCCCAGCTGGCATATTTTCCCCAAAGACCTGACTTGAGTTCTGTAGAACAGTTCAAACTCTGAGGGCTCATTTGATTGCTCATTAGTGGATGACTTGTAGCTGAAGGTAAGAACGTACTCCACTGGGGAGTGGGGAAAGTGACAGAAGAACTCTTTTGTGGCGCTTGATGCCAGACTCATTCATCCTTGCAACTTGATGCTTCAGTCAGCAAGTGATGAACCTGTACATGTGAATCAGATCGTATATTTCATTCATATAATTAATTTTGGGTACAGTTCCATCTTTCCACCTGACTGTGTTCTGTTTCTTTCTTCTGCACTCAGATTTACTTCTGGCCTGCTCATAAGTTTTGTCTGCTCAGGGCTTTTTTTTTAAAGACAAGTGAATGAAGATTAAAGTGTATTCTTTCAATACACTTTCTTTCAATCTTCCTGACTCATCCCTCTTTGCACTGCTGCATAGCAACCCCATGTTTTCTTTTATTCCTTTTCCCCCTTGTATTCTGGGAATTCTATGCTTATAGAATCATAACATTAGAAAAGACCACAAGGACCATCCAGTCCAATCCCCTGCCATGAAGGAATTCCCAATCAAAGCACTCCTAACAGATGACCATCCAGTCTTTGTTTAAAAACCTCCAGAGAAGGAGACTTCACCATATTCTGAGGCAGCATATTCCACTTTGAACAGCTGTCAAGAAGTTCTTCTTAATGTTTAGGTGGAATCTCCTTTCCTGCAATTTGAATCCATTGCTCTATGACCTACAGCAGCAGAAAATAAGCTTGCTCCATCCTTAATATTACATTCTTTCAAATATTTGAAATACTTAATCTTCTCTTCTTCAAGCAAAACATACTCAGATCCCTAAACCACTCCTCATAGAGCATGGTGTCAAGACCGTTCATTAACTTGTCAATATTCTTCTTGAACTGTGGTGCCCAGAACTGAACCACCAATATTCCACATGTTGTCTGAGCAACACAGAATAGAATGGGGCAATGACCTCCCTTGATCTAGACACTATACAATTCAGCCTAGGATCATTTGCCACATCACACTGCTGACCCATGTTCAGCGTGGCCTACTAAGATTCCTGAATCCCTTTCACGTGTACAGTTTTCAAGCCGGGTGTCACCCATTCTGCCCCTGTATAATTCATTTTTTATGTCTAAGCATACCCTGTATTCCATCCTTCAGGTTATTGATAAAGATGTTGAATAGCTCTTGGCCCCAGATAGACCCCTGTTGCATCCCATTGGTCACTTCCCTCCAAGATGATAAGGAGCACCCTTTGGGTTTGAACGACTAATCAATTCCCAATCTGCCTAACAGTAGCATTGTCTAGCCCACATTTTACTAACTTCTTTGCAAGAATGTTATGGGGGATCTTGTTGAAGACCTTACTGAAATCAAGATATATGACAGCAACATAGAATCATAGAATCAAAGAGTTGGAAGAGACCTCATGGGCCATCCAGTCCAACCCCCTGCCAAGAAGCAGGAATATTGCATTCAAATCACCCCTGACAGATGGCCATCCAGCCTCTGTTTAAAAGCTTCCAAAGAAGGAGCCTCCACCACACTCCGGGGCAGAGAGTTCCACTGCTGAACGGCTCTCACAGTCAGGAAGTTCTTTCCATTCACCTATCAACCTTGTAACTCCATCAAAAAAGAAGATAGGGTTAGTTTGGCATGACTTGTTTTTGAGAAACCTAACTTTTGGTGAATATGGCGTTCCTTTCTAAGTGCTTACAAATTGTCTCTTGAATGATCTGCTCAAGAATCTTTCCTAGTATTGATATCAGGCTGACTGGGCGGTAATTGTCCCCCTCCCCCCTTTAAGAAGGGGGAGGGGGTAATTGTCCCCCTCCCCCTTCTTCCAGTCTGGAGCTTCTCCTCCAGGAATTCTCAAAGATGATTCTGAAACTACTTCTGCTACCTTTAGATCTAATTCATCTGGCCCCGGAGGATTGATTTCATTTAGATAGACCAAAACCCCCTGTACAGCCTCTTCACCTATTCTGTGCTGCATTTTCCATCTGTTCCATTATCCTCAAGGTGAGCACTGTTGTTTACCTTTTGAGAGAAAAGTGAGGCAAAGAAGATAGTACATAGTTCTGCCTTTTTTCGATATCCTGTTAGCATTTTACAATCATTTGTAATGTTCTTCACTATGATACATAAGAATGAATGGATTAATGTTTAGAGCTAAATCTAATTGTTCATCCCAGTTAGAGTAAACCCATTGTATTAGTGAGATTGCATAGTGACTGATGTATCCAATTTCCACTTGTTGAGTTAGCATACTTCGGCTTGGGCTAACAATTGGATTTAGCCTTGATATAGCTAACCAATCAACCCCTTTGTCTCATTCCTAGGTTATAACCTCAGTTTAATTGTCTTATCCCAAGTAATCACAGGAGTAGAGTAGCTCATATAGTAAAGGGAAATATATAGAATAGATTCACTTGGAAAGGTCTTGTGGTTAGTCCTCATCTGCTCCCTTGTGAGGGCTGTACCTTTATTTGTTATATTTCTACACCAAATTTCTTCAAAAATTATTCAGAGAATTTACAGTTTGAAAACAAAAATAAGAGTGTAATCCATGCATGACAGAAAAATATCATCAAACTAACTATAAAATTCCATAAAACATTATCTCCATGTGGGCAAAACGTCAGATAAGAAAGCTTCTGATAAATGACCATACAGCCCAGAAAACTCACAGCAACCCAGTGCTTCCAGCCATGAAAGCCTTCGACAACACACGATCTCCATTAATCACCAAACACTCCATGTAATATAATGTTTTCAACAGATAGCAACATCAGACAAAGGAGAAACAGCTTCAGGAAGCATTTGCTCTTGGCAAACTATGAGGTGAGCAATGTCTCATTGAGGAGTGGTCACATCAGAATGCCTTCCTTTTTCACTTTCATTGCCCCAGAGAATGAGCTGAAGGTACATGAGGCACTCCGCTGCTGAAGCCAAGCAGAGCTGGGGCATACATGCCGAGACAGTCTAGGCACCACATGTTTGGTTACCCTACATAAATTATTTGT